TTGCAACCACCTTCCATCTGAGCCCGTGAGGGAGAATGCCCAAGATGAAAGTCACAGTCTTTTGGTCATTTAATCACAGAAGTGACATTTCATCATCTCTGCTATGTCCTATTTGCTAGAATTCAGTCACTAAATCTAGCTCACATTCAAGGAAAGGGATTACACAGCGTGTAAATTCTGGGAAGGAAGGCAGGATTCAATAAGGACCATCTCAGACTGTGCCAACCATAGATCCATTGATTGATAACATTTTACCTTATTTGATTTGCTCTAATCCCCTTTACATAGATATGGATATATGTCCATGGTATGTATATATATATATATGGAGATTATATATATGGAGATATCTGTATACAGTACCTATCTACTTGTATACATACTTTTTTTTGGTTAAACCACCAAAAACAAGTTACAGACATCAAGACATTTCAACTCTACTTACCTCCTAAGAATATTCATCTCCTAAGAATAATAACATTTTCCTACACAACCACAATGTTATTGCACTATTTAACAATAGTGCTGTGATATTATCTAGCATCAGCCCAAACTCAACTTTCCCGTTATTCCAAAAATATCTTTTGTAGCTCTTTTTCATTTTTTGCTCCAGTATCCCACATTATTTTTGGTTGTTTTATCTATTTAGTCTCTTTTAATCTAGAGCAATTCTTCCCAATACTATCTTTTTCTGTTTGTTTTTTTTTAATACCATGAACTTTTTTGGAGAGTCCAGGCCAATTGCTATGTAGAATGCCTCATATTCTGGAGATGATTATTTCCTTATGGTTTTGTTTACCTTGTCTCCATATCCACTGTATTTCCCATACACAGGAATTTAGGTTAAATATTTTCGGAAAGAATATTACAGTGGGGGCACTAATCCCAGTACTAGCGACATTTGCTCATTTGGTTATTGTGGTAACTGTTCCATTTCTCCTTTATAAATGCATAACCTTCCTCTCATAGTAAGTATGCAATCCATGGGGCAATCCTTAGAGTCTGTGTGAAATCCTGCTCCCCAGGGACCCCTCTCTCAGCACTTTGAGCATTCATTAATAATCCGTGACTTGGTTCATTGTTACACTGGGGGCTGCAAGTGGTGCCTGTCTCATCTATCATTCCTTCTATATTTATTACTCTGTGAAGATCAACTTTTCCTTGTCCCCTCTTTTTCTCATGTTTTGTTTGTTTGACAATGATGATGATGCCCTATTTTAAAAATTATTACATTAAAATCAATTAATATTATTCACTGGACATGCAAATTGTCCCAAATTTGGCTAGTGAGAAACTTTCAAGCTGACTTCTGTATCCATTAAGAAAAAAAAAGCTTTATTAAGAAATAATTCACCTACTATACAATTCACCTGATTACAGTATACAATTCCTGGTTTTTAGTTTATTCAGAGTTGTGCAACTTTGGAATATTTTATCACCCCAAAAAGAAAGCTGTTGTCCATTCCTTAGTGGTCACTTCCCATTAGCCCCAGATGCCTCAGCCCTAAACAATTATTCTACTCCCTTTCCAAAGACTTGCCTATTGTGGACATGTCATGTTAATGGACTCATATAATGTGGTCTTTTGCAAATGACTTCTTACCCTTACTTAGCATTATGTTTTCAAGGTTCATCCATGTTATGAAGTATGCATCAGTTCATTTTTATTTTTATTGCCAGGTAATATTCTATCTTATGACTATACCACATTTTATTTATCCATTCATCAGTTGATAAAATTTAAGTTATTTCTACTCTTTTGCTATTATGAATAATGCTGCTATAAACACTTATGTACAAGTGTTTGCATGAACATTTGAAATTGCTGGGCCATATGGCATAGACAGCTAAGCTGTTTTTCAAAGTGACTGCACCATATATTCTGCCCCACAGCTGCTACTGTTTTTCAAAGTGACTGCACCACACATTCCTACATCGTCACCAACACTTGTTATTACCTTTTTAAATTAAAAATAGCTTAATAGAGGTGAACTAATATCTCACTGTTGTCTTGATTTGCATTTCCATTAGGCTAATGATATTGAGTCCATTTCTTTCCCCAGATACCTTTGGTACTTTCAAAATTTCATCTTATTTTCTTGTTATAGCTTTGTTTTGTTGTTTTTCTGCTTTGATGACTCTGATGATACACATGTTGGCTGTTCTTTGTCTACTGTATCTCTCACTTTCTGATATTTTTCTTTTCCTATTTGTTTTGTGATTGTTTAAAATTTTTTTCCAATGTCTCTTATTGAATTCTTAGCCTAACCCATTTTCCCGTGGATACCACGTAATTTAGTTTTCATACCTTAAGGTCATTTTTTTTCTATTTCCTTCCGAAATTCAGTGGATCCTCATTTTACAGCTTTCGGTTTTGTGTCCATTTCTATTTTGAGCTTTTAAATATCTGATTTTTTAGATTCTTTACAGCTGCCATTGCTTGCTAAGGGATGTTTAATTCATGTTAAGAGTGCTGTGTTACAGTTTTTCTCTGCTTTTTGGTTGTATTTCATTAGCAAAAAAATGGTTTAATTATTTTGGTATCATAGTTGTTTTATATGGATGTCAGTTGCTGTTTTCTGTTTGTTTCAAAAAGTCTTGAATCTTCCTGAATCAGAAATAACAAATGTTTCTACCGAGGGTAGGTGTCCTTAGTAGGATGCCTAATAGGGCAGGTCAAGGCTGGAGTAAGATGTTGGGAGGGAGGGAGGGAGGAAGATTTCTTAGGAAGGAAATCTCTGAGGGGGGAAATGGAAATAGTAGAACATATTAGTGTGAGCATTTTTAAAACAAATTACTGGAAGAAATATGACACATTTAATGGAAAAAATAAGCATAAATACAATGAAATCTGTGAAAAACATCATTAGCTTCAGAAAAACAAAAAGTTGCAAGAGAAAGGAAACAACCATATTATAGAACTTGGCTCAGGTGTAAACAATATTCACAAAATCATAGTGACTTTTATTTAAATTATGAAAATTGTGATATAGCAAACATAAGGTAGATGAGAGAAAATGGGAATGGGACTATAACAGTGCTAATCCTCATCTAACATAATATAAGTCAACAGATCAGGTCTCTGATTCATAAATCAATAAATATTATTTAAAAATATAAAATAACAGAAGAAAGCTAAAAAATTGAAAAAAAAAACCCCTCCAATAAAGGACACTAAGAGGATTAAATGGACAGGAGAATCCTTTGAGTTGTGAGTGTTTTAGTACATGATTTTTTATAAAAGGATATGTGGATATATCACTTGAACATTTAAAAATGTAATTTTTGAAAAACTAGTTCAAATGCCATCTGGGAAACAGTACTCTGAGAGTCTGTGGTATTGTCCTGGTGTTCACTCTAAACCAAGGACCAATTTCTTGCACAGCAGAATGCAGATGTCAGTGAACCAGCTAGTGAAAGTGGGTGTGGCACCTCTCAAAGTATACCTGATGATTCTTCTTCAGAATGCATGCTTCCCTTTTCCTCACATCGGCTGGTTAGGCACTTTAGTGCAGCACTTTCACCAGAGCCTGTAATAGTGGTTCCCACTGACAACTGAGATGGACGGGGTCTTCTAATGCCACTGGAGGTTATGGTGTTGGCTGGTGACTGGTCCTGACTATTAAGGGAATAGTGGAGTATGACTAGAATCCAGGAGGTCTCCTAGGGCACCTTCCCACTCCTGTGACACATACACAAATTAATGAAAAGGTACTAAGCTACATACTGACGGGCCCAAGGCAGACGCTCAAGAATGAAGATTCTGTTTAACCCCACCACGTAAAGAATCCTGGCCAGCTTAAAGGTAAGTGGAACCCGGAATGGGTAGTGATTCCCGGAAAGGAAATCATAAATGCAGGTTCATTACTAGTTGCAAAAGTGAGAATTGTAGCTTCTACTGGTATTTCCTTTCTTGCTGTGTCATATATAGTTTTTAGTGATTGCCCTTTTCGTTAATTTCCCTTCCTTTTATTACTTTAAAGTCTATCAGCGAGGGCTAACTTTAAAATTTAGTCCACTTTATAACTTTGAGATAGAATGATGATGAAACTTAGAGGTACAATGTATCATCACCTACAGATTTGAACTTGGGACCAGATAAACTAACTGATGGAACTTTGAGCTGTCCTCTTTTGCGGGGGTCGGGCATGAGAGCATTTTTATTTAAAACTGAGAGCATGACCCTTTTCCCACCTCGGCCAGATGGTAGTTTTCCTGTGCTCCAGGATTCCGCTGAGCAGTTAAGAGCTACAGTTGGTTCATTAGGCTCCTAAACACTGCTGGAAAAAGCGGAGAGGAAGAGGATGTGGTAGACCGGGATGTGCATCATGGCCTCCCACAGGCTGATTCCCACTTCCCCTTGGGCGCCATACCTCCATCACCGATTTTTCCATCAGACCCGGCAGCTCAAAAAGTGACTACGTAGCTCCCGGCTCACTTACCCACACACCTCCTATCCTTTCCGAGCCTGCCTAAGTCCCACCTTCTCTCAGAAACTGACCCCAACCCCCAGCCCGGAGACCTCGCCCTTGTCCACAGCGCAGGCCTCGTGGCACCTGTTCAGATACCCATCACACTCCGGGTTGTTTTGATGAGAATGTAAACAAACGCATTAAGACTGCGGGGCCGCCTCCCTGGCAGTGTCGCAAAACGAATGAATGAATGCACGACTCACGGCACAGCCTACACGCTGGGAAAGAGGTCCCGAGATAGCTACCCGCGGAGCCAGACAACGCGCCCTCGCACGACCCGCGGCAAAAGAAAAAAGCGAACGCGTCTCGCGACCGCGGAAGGCGAGGGAGAGAGGACGAGATCCCGAAAAAGGTCCTTTTCCCATACGCCCAGACGGCACAAAAGGTGGGCCTTTCTTGCAGGAGCGGGTCGTGCATTGGTCAATCCTCTAGACTAAGGGCTGGGATTGGCTGCGGATCTCAAAAGACGCCCTCCGCGCGGAGGCGGGACCGGTACGAAGGGCGTGGCCGGCGCTGGGTTACGCCCCTGAGTTTTGGGCTCCGGCTGGAGGGTCACGGTTTGCACCTGTACCCCTGCTTCGGGGCCGGTGTTTGCGGCTGTTGGGGCCGCGGGCCCGGTTTGGGCATCCGAAACGTTCGAGGCGCGGTAGGTAGTGGCCGTGTGGGAGGTCGGGAGTTTCGCGGCTCTGGAGGCGGTGGCCCAGTCATTCCCCGCCCGCGCAGCCCTGCCCCTTGAGCTCTGCAGTCTCTCTGGGTCTGTGAGGCCCGGCCGGGCAGGGCGGGAGGCCCGCCGAGCCTTGCGTCCCCTACCTGAGAGTGGGGGCGCCCCATGCCTTCGCCTCCATTTTGCAGATGGATCGGCGGGTGAGGAACGCGGACGGGCGGTGGGACGCGGAGGCGAAAGGCCCGGATTACGGCGAGGCGTGGCGGAGGGGGCGCGCGTGGCCACTCATCCTCGCTGCCGCGCCTCTGGTGGGCTTCTGTGTTGGGGAAACTGACTGTTAGGTCCTCGCCTCTTTACCGTGCTCTCACGCCGGGACCCAGATGCCCCTGGAATAAGGGAGTCCGACCCCAGCTAACGCACAGATCCTCTCTCACTACTTCGGGGGCATTCCCAGTGGAAAGGTGGACCCGAACGATGCTTTCTTTTTGCCTTGAATGCAGCTGTCCAGGGCTGCCAAGGGGAAAACGCAAGATACCCCACTCATGCCCAGAAGGATCACCCTTTCCAATTGTCATCACTAGAAGAGCTCTAAGCAGCCCAGGAGGCACATGTTCAAAACCTATTTCAGGTCCTTAATAATTACTAGGTTGAGTTCGGTGTATTGTTTGTAATAAAAAGGAGCGGAATCCTGCCAGAGCACGTTGGCCCTCACTGGGAATTCATTGGAGAATGGGGAGAGGTGGCCCGAAGGTAGCTAGCTTTCATAAATATCCTAGCGCTTCCAAGATTTAGGGTATGAAGAATGTTGTTCAAATGCAGGACAAAGTGTGTCCAGTCAAGAAATGAAGGTTCTAGGGCTTGGTTAAGAGAAGTAGAGGCCACCAGTTGAACCAACCAGTCCTGGGCCACTCACTGCAGAAAGGAGTGAAGAACTCGGTTTCACCTCTTTGGAGAAGCTTTTTAAAGGACTTCCCCCTCCCCATAAATAATAATCACTTCTTTCTTTAGGCTGCCTTTTCTTGCTGTATTGTGGTTTCCCCAGCCCCTAGCACAATGCTGGGAAGTCAGTGACTGAAGAAAGGCTAAAGAAAACAAAACAGTAGCAGCATAGCCAAAAAGTTCACAGAACAAAACATTGATTTTTTGTTAAGATTTATTTACTGTTAGAGGGGAAGGGAGGGAGAGAGAGAGAAACATAATCAATGTGTGACAGCAGGCCCCCAGCTGAAGACCCAGCTGGCAATTCCCAGGCATGTGCCCTACTGGGAATTGAACCACTGACCCTTTGGTTCACAGGCCAGTGCTCAATCCACTGAGCCACACCAGCCAAGGCAAACTTAATTCTTTTAACTTATTGGGCCAATTATTCTTACAGGGTAGGGAATCCGTTGAGCTCTGGTTCAAGTCAAATCAGATTTCTGTTCTTCCATGTTGCTAACTTTAGACAAGTAATTAAACTTCCCTATGCCTCCGTTTCTTCATCTGTAAAACAGGAGTTATAATAGTACATTCTACTCCATGGGTTTTGAGGATTGAATAAAATATTGACATAAAGTGCCTAGCATAGCTGTTAGCAGTTGTTAGGATAAAAGTAAACAGATACTCGAACAGATTCACTAATACTAAATATCTGTATGTGCTTGACCCTTCAGGATCTGTCTGTACTTGGTCCTATGTGTTTTCTTGATTTTTAAAAAATCCCTTAACCAGAGATGTCCAACCCGCAGCCCACAGGCCCAGGATGGCTAAGAATGTGGTCCAACACAAAATCATAAATTTACTTAAAACCTTTTTTTTTCTCATCAGTTTTTGTTAGTGTTTGTGTATTTAATGTGTGGCCCAAAGCAACTCTTCTTCTACCACTATGGCCCAGTGACACCAAAAGGTTAGACACCCTGGCCTAAACCTTTTCAGAGCCCACCCCATCCCCCCTCAGTAAAAGTACATGCAGGCATACCTCATTTTATTGTGCTTTACAGATGTTGTGTTTTGTACAAATTGAAGGCAGGACCCTTCAAGCAAAAAGATTACAACTCACTTTATTGACATCCTCATTTTTTTGCTATCACCTGGAACTGAACCTGCAGTATCTCCAAGGTATGCCTCTATTCCATAGAAAATAAGCTCTTCACGCTTTTAGTCTCACTACCCACTAGAGACTGATGAAGCGCCAAATAACATTTAGCAAATATAGTAGTATTGGATACACTCAAAATGTGGTCTCTTAAAATGAGCAGAGGAGTAAATCAAATGTGACCTGGTGTGGCTGACAGAAAAAGATTTTAGGATAGTTGGCTCAGCCAGAAAGAGGCAGAACTTGTGGAGGTGGGCCTGGAGTGGCTTCTTTCCTTACAACAAATCTGGTCTTCTGAAGAAACTGGTTCCTGTCTTTGAAGTTGTTCATGAACATTGTGAAAAGTGGAAGAAGTCTTCCAGTTGGTTTCAGACCTGTTTGCCAGACCTAGAGGTGGCAGATATAACCCCTAGGCCTAGGGGATATTGCCTCACTTCCAGGTTTTCCTGTACCACTTTCTGGTTGCAGGAAACAGGCTGTTATACTTCCTTCCAGGTGTAGGTCCCCTTTGCACATCAATTCCTCTTAAATATAGAGTTTCCAAAACAAAACTCCTCCTCACTTGTAACTATTACAGGAGAATTCTGATCTGTGATTCTGCTTTTACTGTAGTCACAAAGAATCTTGAATTCTTTCTAGGGAATATTATTGTTTCTGGGGACTCCCATCCAGCCTGGTGGTATTCTGTAATGAGCCATTAAAATCCTGCCACAAGATGTGAGCTTTTTCTAGTGCCCTGTTGGAAAGGTTTTAAGGACAGGATACATTTCCTCCTGTCTGGTGGATGTAAGTCAGATAGGCACTCAGTGAATGCATGTAAAGCCATTATAGTTCTGCATCACAGTGCTAAAACGGGCTTATGAATCTGGTGGTTCTAGAACATTGTGCTTACCAGTGGTCTGGAGATCTTGTAAAGTGCAGGCTCTGATTCCAAGGCTATGGGGTAGGGCCTGATAATCTGTATTTCCAGCAAGCTCTACAGTGATGTAGAAGCTGCTGATCTGTGGACCACACTTTGAGTAGAAAGCGACTAACATAAGTATCTGCATTTGGTTTTTTAAGTTTTTTTTTTATTTTATTGATTTGAGAGATAGAGAGAGATGTTGATTTGTATCACCCACTTGTGCATTCATTGGTTGATTTTTGTATGTGCCCTGACGGGGGACTGAACCCCCTTAACCTCAGTGTATCAGAACCAGTGCTCTAACCAACTGAGGTATACGGCCAGCTTTTTAGAAGTACTAACAAACAGGTTTTATTTCCTTGTAGTATTGAGATAAAGTCTTGAATTTAGTAGTTTTTTTCCCCTCTGTTATTCTGTTTTTAACATTTCTTCTGTTTTGTTCCAAAAAATAATTTGAGGAATCTTTCCAAGATCCTTTCTGTGTAACAAGATTTTTAATAGGAGCAACTGAGGCAGATAGGGTGAATAAAAAAAAGGTCCAGACTAAGGTCAGTACAAAAAAAGAGTGCCTTTTGCCTCATAGATTTTGCTTGGGTGGTACTGCACATCTGGCCCTGAGCTTCCTAGCAACCAAAGCAAAGAGGAAAAAAATTTTTTTATCAGTTTTACCAATAACTATAAAGTAAAAACCAACTGGCTGCTCAGTGAAATGGCTCTTTCTCTTACTGAGACTAGAGAATTCTTGTCCCATGAGTTCTCTAAGAGGTTTTGGTACTTGAGTGACATTCTTCATGGCATCTCTTTAGAGAATCAGTAAGTTTCTTATTCTTCGTATGTGTAGCCTGAAGGGCTCACAGCGAACTACCAATACAGTAAAGCAGTGGCCTGTGGAACTGGTCCAGGGCCAGCTTCCTGGGACAGCAGGAACAGTTTTTATTCCAGGGGAGCTGTTTTTCTGCTGTGCTCTTTGGTGGGAACGGAGGGTACAGTTGACTGACATGTTCATTCCTCATTATCCTTGTTCTTTGACTGCTGAGGAAGCCTCAAGAGCTTAGAGTTGAAGGGAGGGGTGGCTAGAAGCTCAGTCCTAAATTCCTTGTAGATGTGGCCGTTGCATTTCTTTAAATGCCACCCAAAGACCTCTCGGGACAAGTTGGAAGGATGGCCCTGCCCTGAGGCTGTTTGGTGGTCCCAGTCAGTCAGCCAACTGGTGAGAGAGGGAGGGAAGGGGAAGGAAGGGAACAGCAGCCTGGCAACAGCCTTCCCACCGCCTCTGTCTGAAGGGGCCCAGTGGCTCCTCCTAGGGCCTTGGAGGACCCTTCCTTTGAGAAGCAGCCATAGGGGAAACAAAAGGGGAGGGGGTGCTGGAGGATCCACACCTCCAGCCACAGCATGGCTGGCATACACCTGCCTCTGAAGCGGGCCTGGGCCTCTTGTGACTGCCCCTTTTGTTGGCTTCCACCACATGTGTCTGTACCCCCTTTCATGCTGCCTCCCACATAAAGATGGGTTTCCACCTTTAAGCTCCATTCTCCCGTCAGTCTAGTTCCCTCAGAGCCTTCCAGCAACCTACAGTGCTGGTTTCTACCCCATCCCCTCCCGCTTTCCTTGTGGGCGGTTTCATGTTCTTAGAGAAAGAGCAGCACTGAGAGCCTCTTTGCCTGGTTGTCTGGTCACATTCTGCCACTGTGTGTGCCTGGCATTTGCCACTTATACCTGTCGCCTTCTGTAAAAACAACAAGGAGTGTCAGGGCTTTGGCCCCTGAACTGGTAGGGCTTGCTGTGTTGGGCACAGCTCCTTCTGGCTGTACAGGCGGCTGATAGTGTACATGGGTGCAGAGACAGACCCTTCCCAGACAAAGTTGGTATAAATCAGATTGTTCAAAATGAGCTCATGATTTCAAGAATCCTGGGCAAGTCCTGTTTTGATATGAGGATTACTTTCTAGCTGATAATTTGTATATTTGAATGGTTTAGTGAAGAGAGGAACGTCACCCTTCCCCCGTCAATTCCCAGCCCTCCTCTCCATCTGGGACAGGAGCAAGTGGGAGGAAGCCCTGGCAGCTGTGACAGGACGGCAGGAGGGTGGTGCAGCAGATACCAGGGAGGGTCAGGTGTCCAGGCTTATGGAGTTAGTGTTACCACAGACGTGATGTGTGAGCATATTTTTTTCTGTAGGGCAGGAATAAGCCAAGCAAGTCTGCATCACTCCTAATTATATCTGGTAGGTCATTCGGCTTCTGTAAGTCCTGGAAACTAGTGGAGAATTTTAAGTGCAGTGGTCCCTAGAATATCCTGAAGCTTATGTGGCTTGTCTCTTTGTTTGGCCAAGGAGAAGGCAGATACGCTGTGTGCAGACCTTTCTCAGGTAGGAGGGTCAATTCATTGTTCATAGTCTGGGCTGTGAGGCCTCCAGTCATTCAGTCAGACTTACTGGTGCTTCCCTGGTAGGAGGCCAGCTGAGGCCTCTGCCTACCACAGAGCTGCTAGCCCCTGGGAACACTGTAAGATGCGTGATCTAAGAGCAGGGAAGCTCCATGTAGCGTAATAGGTTGTTTAAAGCTACTAATCTGGGACAGTGTTGGTCCAGCCCAGCAAGTCATTTTCATCATTCTGAGCGGACCATTTGGTGATTTGAAAAGGAGTAAATGGTCTTTCACTGGAAGGGTACAGGCAGAATCCCACACCTCTACCCTCATTCCCAGGTGGTCAGAAAGAATGATGTATAAAATCTAGAATCTGGAAATGAGGGCTGGATCTTCATGTTGTATTAAGATGTCTACCTGGCAAGTGAAGACAGGGTTGAGCCCTGAAAATCCAAAACCTGCACATTTTCTAGGCTACAGTTTTCTTCAACCATCAACATGATTGATGGTTTAAAAAATTTTTTTAAAGATTTTATTTATTTATTTTTAGAGAGGGAAGGGAGGGAGATAGAAAGAGAGAGAGAAACATCAATGTGCGGTTGCTGGGGGTCATGGCCTGCAACCCAGGCATGTACCTTGACTGGGAATCGAACCTGTAACACTTTGGTTCGCAGCCTGCGCTCAATCCACTGAGCTATGCCAGCCAGGGCTAAAAAAATTTTTTTAAACATGTTTATTGATTTTGCCCTGGCTGGTGTGGCTGAGTGGATTGAGCGCCAGCCTGTGAACCCAAGGGTCACTGATTCGATTCCCAGTCAGGGCACATGCCTAAGTTGCAGGCCAGGTCCCAGAGTAGGGGCAACCAAGAGGCAACCACACATTGATGTTTCTTTCCTACTTTCTCCCTCCTTTTTTCTCTCTCTAAAAATACATAAAATCTTTAAAAAAGCATGTTTATTGATTTGGAGAGAGAGAAGGAGAGAAAAACATTGATGTGAGAGAGAAACATCAATGGGTTGCTTCTCATACATGCTCCTGCTGGGGATTGAACCCACAACTTAGGTATGTGCTCCAACTGGGAATTGAACCCCCAACCTTTTGATGAATGGGACGATGCTCCAACCAACTGAGCCACACCAGCCAGGGCCAACGTGATTGATGTTTTAAAAATGGTCTGTCTTCAGCAGTCATTACTTTAAGTTTTCCCTGATTGTCTCTACCCTAGTTGACTTTTCCCTTTTCTTTATATTCTGTAGCATCTTGTACACAATTTACAATGAACTCTCATGGACTTCTTTTCTATTTTATTTTTATTTTTTCACATATATCTGTCTTAGTTCTCATAATACACTTGTATAGCACAGCCCTGACTGGTGTGGCTCAGTGGGTTGGGTGTCAGAGGTCACCAGCTAGATTCCCAGTTAGGGCACATGCCCGGGTTACAGGCCAGGTTCCTGGTTGGGGACTTGTGAGAGGCAACTGATGGATGTTTCTCTCCCTCTCCGCCTGCGTTCCCTTCTCCCTGAAAATAAAATCGTTTGTTTTTTTTTTAAATCTTGTATAGCGCAGGCTAAAAAATAGGATTTGTTAGGCAGATAAGCGAGATTATGAGGGACTGCTTATCCAGACAGAGAAAATAACCAGATATAGTATGTCTTTTCAGAAGTACCATTTTCATCAAAGTCACTGGATTTCATACCTTCTTACCCTAGTTGCTAAAGGGCCTTTGGCAAAACTGTTAACCTAGTTCAGGTTTGTATGTATACTTGAAAGTTACCCAGCGGTGTCTCCTAAATAGCTTATAATTCTAGCTCACCACCCCTCCAGGGATAAATGGATACCTTCTATTCTGAATAATGAAATCTAAAAAAGACATTAAAAAATACCTTATAAAAACAAAGACAGAGATCATTTGTTGTACCATCTCTTGCCCCAACTTCGTCTTCGTCCAGCCCCATCTCAGGACCGCAGCCTTCAGTGCGAAGAGGAGTGGAGGAATGAACGAGGGGGACTGGCTTCCACCCTCAGGGCCCAGGGCCAGCCAGTGAGAGAGTTTAGGAACGGAGGAAGGAGTAGAAACTAGGGGCTACAGACTAAGTTCAGCCGTCACCTTGATTTTTCCCATTCATGGGCTCAGCTTATCCCCAAAGTCATGAAAACACAATTTGCCCGTGAGTGTTTTCATGTGCAGTATCTTAAGTAGCCACAAGGTGAGGACGCAGCTCCATGAAAGTCTCTACAGGACTTGGTCACCCATCTCTGTCCCTCTACTAGTCTCTTCCCTCTTCTACTTTGTGTACCTCTGTTTTGTAACTTGTTCCCCAATTGGTTCATAAAGAGCTTAGATTCTGGAGTCACACTGTTCTAGATTGGAATCTCTCTGAGCCTTTGTTTCTCCCTCTGTGGAATGAGGATAAGGCCTGTTTCCCTTGGGAAACCAGCATCATCTACCAGAAGTACGCGTGCAGGTACCCTTCCTGGCCGTTTGCACTGTGGGTGTGCTAGCATGCATGCAAATGGTGTGTGTGCGTGGTGATTCATCACAGCGTTGTATGTAATAGCAAAAGATTGGAAATAACCCAAATATCTCCTGGTAAGGGACTGGTAAAATAAACAAGAGAGCAGTATTACAGTGGAGTACAGTACTGGGCTGTGATACAAAGAAAAGAAGCTCTCTTTGTATTGTTAAGGAATGATCACCAAGATATTTTGTTTAAAAAGAAAAGGAAGCAAAGTTCTGAACAGCATGTCCTATAAACTTTGCTTTAAAAAAAAAAAATCCTTACCTAAGGACACACTTACTGATTTTAGAGAGGGAGGAGGAGGGAGACATTTATCATTTGCCACTTGTGTGTGCCCCAACCAGGGACCGAACCTGCAACCTAGGCATGTGCCCTGACCCGGAATCAAACCTGTGACCTTCCAATTTATGGGACAATGCTCCAACCAACCAGGCCACATTGGCCAGGGCTAGTTTGCTATTTTTATGTAAAAAGGGAGAAAGATGAAATAGATTTTTGTGTTTGTCTGCATGTGTACCAGGAGATGAGTGACACAAAATTAATGAGACTGTTTACTTGTTTTTGTAGAAGTATCTAGTAGTAAATATTTTGCTTGGTTTATGTAAAAAAAAAAATAAGGGCTACTTTTCCTCCCTCTCTTAGACTTCGTTTCTTGAAACTTGTTACACTGATTCTGACACACGCACGGCCCCCGTGATAGCGATGGCAGTAGCTGACACTGTGCCAGGCACTGTCGGGGTGCCTTGTGTGCACTAGTTCATTTTAGGGAGCAACAGGGACAAGGGCGGGGGATACTTGATCTGCAGTGCATTTCATATTTGAGTCCTAAATTGAAATTGTCCCAAAAAAGTATGTTTTTCCCATTAGTTTCTGCCACATAGGGTGGTTGTGAGAAGTGAGAGTACATGTAAAATGTGTGCTCTTCTGCAGGGTGGCCTCTGAATTGGTCTGGAGCCAGCCAGGCAGGGTAGGACCCTCCTGTGTGGGCGGTCTTGGAATAGCTGTCCTCACCCAGTTGTGTTTCCTTGTGTGCCAGCCAAGCAGGGAGCGCCCACATCCACGGCCCCCTCCACTTTCTCACTTCCCTGCTGCTTCCTGCTTGCCATGGCTTCACCTCCTGGTCTCTGAGGAGACAAGGCTACTTGAAGTTGGCTAGCCTTGAAGTTGGCTAGCCTTGAAGTTGGCCCATTGCACTTCAGGCAGCCAGTGAAATCCTGGGTGCTTGAGGGTCCCTTGCCTCCCAAATCCTCCTGGACTTGTGCTCCCAGGAGCAGCCCTCACCTGCACACTTAGGCCAAGGAGGTCTCCCTCTGTTCCTGAAGCTCTTCATGCAATGGTCCTGTTTTCAGATCGCCCTCCTAAATTGTTCCTTCTTTCTTCCCTGCCCGCTGACTGCCCCTATCTCTCTCTCTCTCTCTCTCTCTCTCTCTCTCTCTCTCTCTCTCTCTCCCTCCCTCCCCCCCTCTCCCTCTCCCTCTCTCCCTCCCCCCCTCCCTCCTCTCTCCCCCCATCCTGCTCCACAACCTGGAGCATGGCTCCTGTGCTTTGAGAGGGTCGTCCCTTCTCCACAGGAGAAGGTGTGGGGAGCACCCCGGGTTCAGGCGAGGCCTGGACATGCCCTGACTTGCTCTTCAGAGCAGAGTGGTCAGAGCCAGGCCAGAGCTGCCTGCTGACGGGGGCATTTTGACAACAGAGCCGCAGCTGGGCTGGGCTGGCACAGGCCAGGCCTCTTACCCAGTGGGGCTGGGCTGAAGGGACAGGGACGCAAAGGTGACTTTAGTGAGGACCAGGCCTTGACTGTGATTTGAACCTGCACCGACCCTCCCAGGCACCTGGTGCTGGGGCTGGTACAGGCCACATAAAAGTGGAGGACAGAATATTGTGCTCCCGCCTCCTTTTTGGAAGGGTTTGATGCCGAGGAGAAGCTGGACCTGGACCTTTGTTCTTCCCTGAGGAAGTAGCCATAGTTTTTTGGTTGTTTCTCTTTGCCCCCCACCCCCAAATGTTTTTCTTAATCATTAAAGAGCAAAGTTGCCTGGACACAGGTGGACATTTGATATTTTTGTCTCTCTTTCCCACTTTGTAGGCAGCTGAAGGCTTCAGGGAGTCCTGACCTAGAGGCGTGTCAATGGCACTGGGAGAAGAAAAGGCAGAGGTGGAGGCATCCACGGACACCAAGGCCCTGGCTCGTGGGAGGTGGAGCTGCAGGGAACAAGAGGTGGACATCCCCGTGCCTGTGAATGGGGAGCAGCTGCCACGCCTAGAAGCTGAGGGAGAGCCCGCCTCCCCTGTGTGGGGGGCAGAGGACCTATCTGCCCCCACCTGTTGCCCTTCTGGAGCCTGCCAGTCACAGGCCACCAATACCAGCAAGGAGCCAGTGGCCGGTGCATCTCAGCGTGCCTTCAGCTGCCTGCATCCTTCTCCCCATGCGGGGACTGGAGATCTGCATTCTGTGGGAAGTCAAGTAGCTACTAAGGTAAATGAGACTGCAGGTTTACCTAATGCTATCTTTTGGGAATGCATTCCAGCATTTTGTTGTCATCTTAAATGCTTTCCCAATCCCTGTTCAAGGTGGGGCATTGGGGTGCCTGGGTATGGTGATTTCTGTTTTGCAGGTTTACCTGGAGAATTGGGCCTCGGTGCCAGTGGGGCTGGGGGGCTCTGTCCATAGCATCTCCTTTTCCTTAAGAGATTGGTGATCTTCTGAGAACCAGGGACGCTGTGGCCAAGACCTACTGTCCAGAGGGCTAGGCCAGGAGAGTTCTGAAAAGGGGAGCTTTTTCTGTTTCTGACTTGGTGGTCTGAAGGCCTCAGGGGGATCCTGAGAGGAAACTTGGGGGAGGAGGGCCCAGAGCTGTGGTCTCCTGAGGGCTTTGAGACTGTATCTCCTGGAAACCCAGGAAGCCTGGCAAAGCTTGGAGCCCCTGCAGGGGGCAGCACTGTTGCAGGGCGAGGAGAATTTCTTGGGCAGCCCTGACTACAGTGCAGCCTCGCCTAGTGGGAGTCACGCGTGGGTGGCAGGGCGTGCTGCCTGGGTCTGTGACCTCAGGCAAATCACTGAGTCTTCTAGGCACTCAGTGTAATTGGGAAGGTGACTTGCATGACCTGCCCCTCCCAGCTCTGACGTCCTATTCTGTTCTGCTTGCCCAGACCTTTCATGGGAATGGCTTTGATCTCTTCAGGGTCATTGTGGCCTTGGCTGCTGCATGCTGCTCCTGTGGATCCCGCTCCTTCCAAGAGCCTCTGACTGGGAGAAAACAGAAGCTGGGCTCACCTGCCTGGGGGCCAGGGTGGTGGGGGCTCAGGGAACCTGTGAGTCAGAGCTTCAGAGAAGTCAGAAGCAAATAAGCCTACTGGCTTTTTTCATGGTGTGAGTCCAGTGCTTAGTGTAACTCCTGTTGTGTGTAGAGCTCTCACCCTGTGCCCTTCACACACGGGCTCATTTACTACTCGTCGTCCTGAGGAACTGGTGCTGCTATCCCCATTTTATAGGTGTGGGGAGTGAAATGGGCGAGTAATAGTACCACTTTCACTGGAAGGTGGCAGTTAGGGGTCGGCACCAGGTCTGTCTGGTGCCGGAGCCCATGGCCTTTAACCACTGTGCCACCGGCCTCCCTCAAGCACATTAAAAGTTCAACGTGAAGAGGCTGAGGTGAGTGACTCATTTTGCTGGTGTTTAGTTACCACTGGCATGCGAGCCGAGTGAGTGGGTTTGGGTGTGTCTCCCATCAGTGACAGGGTGGCTAAGGTTTCGTCTGCACAGGACATACTTCCAAAAAGTTAGGCAGTGTGTTCAGTCTGACAGCTCTGAGTTCTGCTTACAGGCAGGGTATCTGTGGAGGAAGGCCTTTTGAAAGGACTGGGGACGGGATCAGTTTGGGGAAGATAGGCTGCTTCCAGAGCAGGCTCTCCATGTCAGGACCTCTCCTGAACATCATTTGGCTCCTCAAAGAAAACTCCGGATTGTCATCTAAGAAAGAAGTTTAGTTCACTAATTGTTTACACTTGAGTGCTTTTTCTTCCCTCTTATCATTTCAGATGGAGGACGCCAGTCTTTCTGCCTCAGGGGAGCTATCTCAGACTGGAACCATTGCCAAAGCCACAGGTCTTTGCTCAGGACATGATGCGGATACTGAAGATGATCCGTCCCCAGCTGAGTCACCTCCAGTGCTGGACCTCAGTCAACAGCCTCACATCTCAGGTTTCCCTTTCTCGTCAAAGTGGAGGTCCATGGTGAGCCCAGGTGTCGCTGCTCCTCAGTTTTCCAGCTGCAGTATCTCTGCTTCATCCCCTGGTGGCAGTTTCCAGGGTCTCCAAGAGAAAGCAGAGCCTCAGAGTTGCTCCCTTGCCAAGGTCTCTTCCCTGGAGCTGGTCGGTCCACAGTCAGTCCCCTCTGTGGGGGGGCCACGGCCTCAGCTCCAATGGTCTCCACAGCCTGTGTCCTCTGGGGAGGATGCTTCTGGGCTGAGCAGGAGGCACCTGTCCTTCCAAGCTGAGTACTGGGCCTGCGTGCTACCAGATTCCCTGCCCCCTTCCCCTGACCGCCACTCCCCGCACTGGAACCCAAATAAAGAGTATGAAGACCTGCTGGACTATACTTACCCACTTAGGCCCAGGCCTCGGCTCCCAAAGCACATTGACAGCCACGTGCTGGCTGACCCTGTCCTGCAGGACTCGGGCATAGACCTGGATAGCTTTTCTGTCTCCCCAGCAAGCACTCTAAAGTCACCCACTGATGTCTCCCACAGTTGCCCACCAGTGGAGGCCACTGCCCTGCCATTCTCTGAGCCCCAAGAGCCAAGCCTCAAATGGTGGCACTCTGGAGGACCCCAGGAGCAGGGCAGCGTTGGGCTGGCATCTTGTAGCCAGCTTGCATCTACACCCAGGGCCACAGGCAGTAGGGGCAGTCCTTGGAAGAGTAGAGAGCCAGCCCTGAGGGGCGTGAAGAACTGGCGGCCTATGGGCAAGTCCTTCAAGGTGAGCCCTCCCCAGCTGAGGACGTGGAACAGAGGGTGGCCCTCGTCCAGGCCAGAAAGAGAGAAGGGAGCTAGCCATGGTATCCAGCGCCCTGCCTACATGGAGTCGGGATGGACACCAGAAGAAGACCTGGAAAGCGATGACGAGTATCTTGCCTTGCCCACTCGGCTGACACAGGTTTCTAGCCTGGTTTCATATCTAGGTTCTGTTCCCACTTTGGTGACCCTGCCAGCTGGGGCTGCCGAAGGGCAGAGCTCCCTGGATGTGTCGGACAGTGATGGGCCTACTTCCTTCCCATCGGACTCCAGCCAAAGCCAGCTTCCCTCTGGGACTACCCTCAGAGGGTCTGGGGAGCTTGAGGAGCAGAACCACTGTTTGCTGCGCTCCTTCATCCATACAAGGGACTCTGCAGGGGACGGCAGTCTGGTGAGCAGCCAGGCGCTGGAGGTCTCTGGACCTCTGAGAACACGCTCCTCCTTGCCAGTTGTTTTGGACCCAGATTCTAAAGGGCAGCCTCCCAGGAGAGGAAGAGAGGCGGGAAAAGACTCACTCATGCAGTGTGTGAAGGTAAATTCAACATTTAAGAGGTTTTGCAGAGAGGTGTCTCATTTCTTCCCCCAGAAGAAAGAAATGCACTATGCATTTCCAGAAGGAAATTATGCACTAATATAACAAAACTTAGCAAGTTTGAGTTCATTTGTGTGCCAGGCACTGGACTGCTGTATCTTATCCTATTTAAGCCTCACAACTCTCTACTCGATGAGGACTGTTGTTCTCATTTCACAGAGAAAATGGCAGACAAGAGGTTAGGCAACCTGCCCACTGAAAATTAGCAAGGGCTGGAGCCTGAGCTCTTAACCAGTATCCCAGGCAGCTTCCCAAGGCTCTTGACCTTGAAGATTAAGAGGTACTCTGCACAAGAAAGGTTTGTGCTCAGACGCCTTTAGGAAACACTGAACTAAACAAAAGTAAGTACTTTCTTGACTGGGAGGCTTCTCGGAGCTTCAGTTCTAATGAAGTGGTGTAACGGTAGAGGTTTATGCACCGCCCAAGAATATCTGGAGATACAATACTACTACTACAGGGAGCAGGGTTGTCAGCATCAGGCAGGTGTGAATTTGAATCAGGGCACTGCTCTCTGGAATTCAGCTGTCTCTCAGGTTCGCTGCTTTGCTAAAATATGGAGATGCGCCACTTCAAGGTGTTGTGTGGATTAAATGAAATAATTCATATTGAGGGCTTCACGCAGTCCCTGACACAGGTACATACATTCAGAAATGTGGCTCATCACACACACAGGGAGAGTCCCCCAGGTGAGCGAGGGAATACTGCATCTCACCAGAGCTGGGCGGCCAGCTGCGGGTCCGTGTGTGGGCCCATGAGCTAGTGCCACAGGCGGTTCCTAGAACTCAAGGAGGGCTTTAACCTGCTCTTGGTGTCCCAGGGATGGTTTTATTTGTACTCTGAAGCCGGCGGGACACGTATTAGCATGCACTCTCCTTTGTGATACAGGATTGAGAGAGGGTGAGGGAAAGTGCTTGGCTTGCAGCTCCACAGGGAGTGTTGGGGCCCTGCTCCCTGAGCAGTGGGGGCACAGGAGACGGAGTGCAGCTTTGAGTCAGTTGTCAGCTTGGTGTACATTCTGGTTAGTCTTGACCAGTCATTTATTTTATATCCATGTTTTTCCCCCAAACAGTCTGATAGTTAGCAGTGGTGCTGACCCAAGAACTGGTTCCTGGGGCTGGGCTATTCCCCATGCAGGGCCGGCCTTTCTCAGACTGTCATTTTTGGTGTCACATTGGGCTGAGGGTAGGCAGAACCAAGGTGGGGCTGTTGCTGTTGCCGTTGCCCAGGCAGAGGTCTGGAATCATGGGGTGGGGACAGGCAGGGAAGGGGAAAGGAGACTAAAGCCTCAAGTGAAGGAATGCCCCAGAAATGTGCACAATCCATCTCGGAATCCCTGGATATTTTTAGCCTTTTGAAAATGTAAACAGCATGTTTCTTTTATTTGTCTGCACAGACCTTTTGCTGTCAGCTAGAAGAGCTGATCCACTGGCTATATAACGTCGCAGATATTACTGACCACTTGACTCCACCCAGGTCCAGTCTTGCAGGTCTCAAGTCGTCTCTGCAGCTTTACCGGGTAATGCATGGTCCTGGCTTTAGCTGTTCACTCACGAGAGGGATGGCTACATTACTTGATTACAAGGTAATCAGGTAATTTAGCTGAAATAATTGATGTTCAGCACATCGTGGCTCAGTTGACTATGTTACCTAAAATCTAATCATAGGTCCTTTTCATATTCCTAATGCTGAAAAACTGGGATGTATCAGTTATTTCACAGGCCAAATAGAGTTTGGAGAAAACGCATTGATTGTATTTATCTTGAATCAAAAATATGTACAGGTGATTTCCAGTGTAATTTTCCAAATGTCTTAGGGATTGATTAAACATAGATCTGCACTAATATGGAGTCGCTGGACACATGTGGCTATTTAAATACAGTTGAAGATTCGGATTTCTCAGTTGCACTAGTCACATTCCAAGTGCTCAGCCATCACATTCTTCTAGTGTCTGCCACATTGAACAGTGCAGATAGAAGAACATTTCCATCATCACCGAGTTCTGTTGGACAGTACTGACTGGTATTTAAGTGTCTGGACTGAAATTGTACTGATTCCAAAATACACACAGGGCGTTTTGATGGTATTTAAATAAAATACGACTCAATTTGCTTCTCATGTGTTTAGTTTTGGAGGGGCATGTCTCTCTTTTTAAAAAAATAAGGGTTTTCTCTAAAATCTCAATTGTGGCGCTGATTACAACTTTAGGGCAATTATACTTAGGGTGACAGTTTGTGCTGGCTATTCTGGCATAATTATCAGTAGGTCCCCCTTCATTTCCAAAAGTGTTCTGAATTGGATGATAAATTATTCAGTTGCCCTAAACGTAACATTAACCCTGACTGAACTACCCATGGCTTCTAGCATGTCTGGTTGGCCAAACCTTTATAACCTCTGATGAAGGAGCAGGGGTATTTGTAGTGTGAGCCTGGCACTAGTCTAGAAAGGGTTCTCTGGGACAGTTCTGTGAATTGCTCGCACATTACAACCTAACCCTGCCTCTTTAACAGAACAGGGTGTGATTTACAAGTGACTGAGCCAGGGGCCACAGTAGGTTGGGCTGAGCCTGGAGCTCTCACCACACCCAGGCAGGATGGAGGGCCTTTGTTTTCCAGCTTAGAGCCAAGTAAAACTGAAGGGACCAGGCTCGCCTGGTCAGGCCAGCTGCCCTCTATCAGTGAGATTGCTGTTTCCTGCTGTGTGGAGAGTTCCTTGCCCAGAGTACACTGGGAAAGGCTGGCTATGAGGGTCCTCCGTGTGCCGGGGTCCGCTCCCAGGAGGCCCAAGGGCAGCACCATTATTGGGAAAGGAAATTGCCCTTGTAAGATTTACCTGGGTGGCCCTTCCAGAGTGCCTCAGCCCTGCCCCCATCAGAGCAGACCAAGTAAAACAACTCCATTCCCTCTGTTGTGCCCCTCATTCCATCCATTGCCTCAACTTCCAGACTAACCAGAAGCAACTCTCTCGCTTTGTGTGTAGAGCTGAGATCTGAGCTGTGATTACCCCTGCAGGTCAGTGAAGCATAGCCCTCTGTGTCACCCATACAACAGTGGAACCACACTGTCAACCCCTTACCCACACAGAATGGTGCGTGGCTTATGCATATGTATAAGCTACCTTGACCCATGCTGAGATACTTAATATAAGCCTGAGTGTGGGTATGTACCCATATACTTTAACTGTGACTATGTTTCATTATTTTGTCTTATCACAGTCAGTTTGTGGCAGCATATAAGCACAGGTATTAAGGCTGAACACAGGAATATAATAAATTCCAAGAGTAAAATTATAACTTCAGAATGTGAACTAAGTTCTGCACCCTGTGTTAAAAGTGGTCATGAATTTGACTTTATATTTCCTAGCTAAAGGGACATCAAAAATAGTCAACTACAAGGCTTGGTACCTATGAGAGAAAAACAGATGAGCTGCTAAGGAGAATGACATCTTCCCTGATGTCTTCCCAAGGCCTAAGGGCCACATCGAACAGGACAATGCGAGAGTGCCCAGATAGAGGCAGCAGTCCTTGTGGTCAAGTTAACAGCATGTCTTAATGGCTCTTACTCGCTAGTTCCACTAGAACAGAAAACTGTTCTGAGAATCCCATTGCCCTGTGACTTCAAAGAGAACCCACCCTGTGAGGTGAGACAGGAAGGAAGCCCTGGCTCCAGCTGTTGCTAAGGCAGGCTCCAAGACAAAGAAAACTATTTTTTTTTTTTTGTAAAACTGTAAACGGAAAAAAAAGGATTGACCCTATTTACCTTGGGCTCAAAAGAGGTGAAGTTAAACTTTTACACTGTTTACTTGGAGAAGCCTGAAAACCAGTGGGTTCACCTTCCAGGTTAGAGGGGAATCAAGCTACCCTACAAGGGATCATTTTGAATAACTTAGAAAATAATAATGACAAAGCTTTTTTTCTTTTTCTAATATGCTTTAAGCAATTTAAGAAAGATATAGATGAACACCAGTCCCTAACAGAGAATGTCTTGAAGAAAGGGGAGATTCTTCTTCAGTGCCTGCTGGATAACACCCCAGGTGAGATGCGTGAGGCTTTGAATGCCGCCAGCCTGTCTGCAGCAGGCCCAGGGACCCACATTGACTGGTAAGGAGCCAGCAGTGCCAGAGCCCCTCCCACAGGCACCCCTGTCAGCAGCCCCTCACACCATCACTGCCCTCAGACCACACCATGAGGCAGTTACAGTCCTAAAGGTAAGCCGGGAAGAAGTTAGGTGTTGAGCTTGTAAGAACGACACTCGTGCTTTTCTTATCTTTTCCTGGTGGTGTGCTGGGTGGGAATGCTGGTTTTAATCCAGCTGTTCTTGGTTTTCAGCTAGGGCGTTCACGGTGGGGAACCCTCAGGGCCTCCCCTCCTTTCCCAGCACAGGCCGAACCCCTCTGGTCATCTGCTCTGGGGAAGAAGTCGTGTCACATTTTAAGAGTAGTCACTCTGTGCTGAGGGAATAGACTGAAGGAAGAAGTGAACTGACAGGAGGGGACAGGGCGGGCAGTGGTGCACACGCTGAGCTCAAGCCTGTTTTGTAAGGTGGGTTTCCACTGTGGGAAAAGGAGAACCACGAGCCTTTGAGAGTGCACTAAAGCATGAATGGTGCAAGGATTTATGGTCATGCTGCCCTTGCTGGGGGGAGATAGGATATGGAGGATGAGCTACGAGAATGCCAGATTAAAGCAGTGAAGTGATGGACCCCTGAAAGCAGCCTCTGATTTCCTCTAAGATTGAATATCAAAGTGCTAAAAAAAGCCTACCTATATTGTGCCTCAAATTGGGAGTGAAACGGGGTTTATGCTAGAAGCAAATAGCATAAGTAAAACTGGGCGGGACCTGCAGGCTTGAGGGGCGATGAGGTTGCACTTGCCTGACCAGAAGTAGTAGTAGGCAGGTGCACACTAAGGAGATGCATGGAACAGTCTCAATCTCAGCACTGACATTTTGAACCACATAATTTTTGTTGTGAGGGCAGTTGTCTTGTGTGTGGTAGGATGTTCAGTAGCATCCCTGGCTTCTACCCATTAGATGCCAGTAGCACCTCATACCCCCAGACATTGCCAAATGTCCCCTGGGAAGAAAAATCACCAGGGTTGAGACCTGAATGAGCCATGGAGCCACTGCAGGGATTTCCAAGGGGCAGCACTTATCCAGGGCATGTATGAGACTTCTGCAACCCCCTGCCCTTGGGAGACTTTTGATTGGGCTCTTCTCCTGTTCTCTTGCACTAGTGTTTTTGGTTTTGATTGGGGCAGAAATTCAGTATGCCAGGCTCCTTGCTCACTGTTCATTACACTGGTATTTTACTGAACACTGTGTGCCAGACACTGTTGAAGCAGTTGACATCAGACTTTTTTTCCTTTCATCACAGCCCTGTGAGGTGGATACTATTGTTACTGCCACCTCAGCAGAGTGGTGAATTTGCCTTGGGTCACATAAGGTAGGGCAGCCTGGCTCCAGCCCCATATGCTAGCTCCCCCGCTGTTGTCAGTGTCTGGAGGTGCAGGGGCCTGGGCAGGAAGGAAAGGAGCTCAGTACCAGGAAACTTCCCAGAGGCCACAAGTAACAATGGACCTCTTAAAAACTATGGGTTCTTTGACCTTTATTTAAAAATCAATTCCATAAATTTCAGTGCTTAATTTGTACATATGTATTTATGAATTAGAGGGGAAGGGAAGGAGAGAAACTTCAATGCGAGAGAGAAATATTGATCAGTTGCCTCTCACACCCCCAACTGGGGACCAAACCCACATCCCAGATATGTGCCCTGACCAGGAATTGAACTGGTGACCTTTCACTTTGCTTGGTTGACACCCAGCCAAGTGAGCCACACCAGTCAGGGCAGCACTTAATTCGTAATAAAAACATCTCACTTTGCCTTTCTCTCGTAATAAAAACATCTCACTTTGCCTTTCTCTCAAAGGAGTCTGGAGGTATTTTACTGCCAAAATAAGAGGCTTTTGGGGTTTCTGTGGTGTTCAGACATGTATCCAGGCTCTTTCAGATTGACACACTGCCCCTCCACACCCTCAGTTTGGCATAACCAGAAATCTACTGTTTGGTGAAAACCGCAAGTTTCCCTTGATACTTACAGGGTCTTTCTTCGTGGCTTGTCCCCAGAGCATGCCGTCAGTGTCCAGAGCCGTAGCACAGACACTTCTCCCTGAGCCTGCTTTCTTCCTCTGCCACAGTATAACCTCAGGGACGGAAGCTAAATTAATTCCCCCCCCAAAACATGCCGATCTCAGACTGCTGCCAAAGGCCTCCCCGTGGAAATCTGGCAGGTTTTCGCTGCATTTTAGTGTGTGAGTTGACAATCCTGTCTCACACCCAAACTCATTATCAAATGGCTGGCATGTATATACATCCAGCTGAACCAGGTCCCTGTAAAATTAAAACATTAAAAATCACTGGGAAAAATGATTTCATGTACATTCCCAGCTTTCCTTTTACTTCCTTTCAGCCAAACACCTAACATTCTAAAATAAAAGTTCAAAAATAAAGATCCCCTGGATTCCACTGACAGCAGACAGGATGGATAAAGGTCAGGTGAGCATGGAAGAGGGCCTATCCCAGGTGCCCTTCAAGGCGCACTAGACTGCACCCTGGCCTTGCCCTTTAGAGATCAGCTCTGGAGAGTTGTCAGGACCGCACTTTGCCCCTATGACTGACGCAGCTCCCCTCAGTGCTGATCTCAATACAGCCAGCTGGCGCTACTGCCCGCCCCGTCAGCATCCTCTGCAGATACACAGCTTCTGCTTTCCCTTCCGCTGCTGGCAGATGTTGCAGCTGTAGCAGGAAACTAGGGAGAGTGTTAACACAGCTGATAAAGGCACAGGAAGCCAAAGCAGCCTTTGTGTTTAACAAAGGACAAAGTTTTTAAGAGAAAAAAAAAACAATCCTGCTGTGTGGGATGCACTCTGAACTTAGCCTATCCTGTAGGAGGGAATCTTGTCTTTGCCAGCTTTTAGATAATTTTCTTTTTAAGTCTGTTCATTTAGGACACCCACAAAAGGGTTCACAAACATTCCCAAATGTTACCTGACTACCTGTACACATGCTAAATGACAGCCCCCAGTTGACAGGACCTGGCAACAGGACCCTGGTCTGGGTGTGTTGTTTTATTTAATTTAAGCCTTCTGCCCCACAAGATCTGGGCGTGCTCAGAATCTTATCTCTAAAAGTCAGACCATGTTTCTGCCCTTCTGTGAATTACGTAATTCCAAAGTGGAGCCAGTGAAATTCTCAGCTTCAATCAGAAATTATCATATATCTACTAGTGCAATAGCGTTTCCTGGAGAGTCACTGTTAAGAGTAGACATTATGAAACTTGCTGTGTTTCTATTTTGTGTGAAATGCTACACCCTTGTATTTTCTTTTGAAAATAACTTGCATGATTTTTTTTTTGGCCTAATTGTTTTAAACCTCGTTTGTTAGTGTTACTGGAGAGTCACTGTTAAGAGTAGACATTATGAAACTTGCTGTGTTTCTATTTTGTGTGAAATGCTACACCCTTGTATTTTCTTTTGAAAATAACTTGCATGATTTTTTTTTTGGCCTAATTGTTTTAAACCTCGTTTGTTAGTGTTACAGGATGTTCTCGGGAGGATCGCAAAGCAGCCCAGCGAGCTGGAGAGCCACGCAGATCACTTGTATGACACCATATTAGCCTCTGTGGACATGCTGGCTGGTTGTGCCCTCATCTCAGACAACACACCGATGGCACACAGGAGTGCCGATGTGACTGGGATTAGCCTGGTAAATAGAATAACCTAAGAGAACATCTGTCCTCAGACCCCAGTGCTGGATTAGAGGTCAGAGCTCTTGTTCTAACATTTGGCTATTTCTTAGAGGCTGGAGCCAAGAGCTATTAAGTAACATGCTAGGAGAAAACCTATACTGAACAAGGGAGATGCTGTCATTGCCAGGCAGAAGCTTGGTTTGGGGGTCTTCCTGTGGTGATCAAGGCTCACTGTGGTGTGTTCCATTCTGCCTGCCTGAGGACTAGGATGCCCTATGCCCCTGGTAAAACTTAACCTAAACCTACTTTGTGTGTGTACATCTATCACCCAACTCATTTGGTACTCCATCTCCAAGCAACTATTGACAGCACCCAGTGCTTAGAGACACAGAGTTGCTGGTAACTCCCCAGACCTTCCTTTCTCACAAAGAGCTGGGGGGCATTGCTGTGGGGTGACACTCCTGGAGACCTAAGAGTACAGCTTTCTTCTGATCTCTGGAAACTCGTACAGGACACAATAAGAAAGAGGAAGTGAGAGAGTATAGGGGGTTGGTACCCACTTTGGGGGATAACTGGACCATGCTATCTCTGAAATTGCCTCTCCAACCAAAATGTACTTAACTAAGATCTTCCAGATTAGAATTTACTATAGACAAAAGAAGGTAGAGGGTAAAACCTCAGGTATGTCAAGAGCAGGGAGCCCATGTATTTCTATCAAAGAAATTTGAGCGAGTCATTTTAATTCTAAAACGGATGCAGGTTGATGTCTGTTGTCATGTCTTCCTCTGCAGTTTTCTGCCTGTAACAAACGCTTCTCCTTTCTTTCAGGCACCTTCTCAGGCAGAGATGTAATCTGCCTCCCAAAACTCGGCTGGTGGGAAACTTCCAGGAAGTTCTAGTAAGAGCCATTTAATGTTGATATTAAAGAGGAAACTTAACTTTAATGTACTAGTTTATATAAAATGCCTTTCTCTTCCCTGAAGCAAGAGGCTACTGAGTGACCGTTTTTACTTAAAATGAATCCTTCCAAACTAAGGTATTCCTTTGGTGCTGCTTCTCTACAAAGAGCATGTGGCTTTGCCAGTTTAGATAAAGTAATGCTCATAGGCTTATTCATCTTTCCTCCCCTCTCTATCTAGTTAAAAAAAGCAGACAGAGCTCTTAAACTAGTCTGTGTGCTGAGATTATTTAAAGAAGGTACCAATGCTCAGTACCCTCAGGCATACAAGAGGACCTAAGAGACTGAAAAAAAGTGAGTGGTTGGCCAAGAGCTTGGTTCTTTCAGTAAAACTGAAGCTTAACGTTTATAAATCCCTCTTTGAAGATTTTTAGAAGAAACTTTAACTCACCAAATTCTTAGAAGGTTCTGAATGACTAGAACATCTACAAATCAGTCTGGGCTTCAGTACCTTCTGTCATCTTCAGGGCTTGGGGGTCCATCCCCCTGCCTAACTGTCTTAAGGGAAAATGAGCAGGGACTTCTTGAGCTACTATTGAGCTTCAGCTAGGCTGTGGACTAATGACCCACTGTAAGAGGTACCTTTAGGAGGATGCACCCCTTCATTCCTTCTTTGGTATGGAAGAGTAAGTCCAAGGGAAGGGAAGGGCATGGACTCTCTAAGGCTGTCAGTAATGAAGGAAAACAAGGAAATTTTTTGTTGCTTGGGAGTTGATGTAGTACTTTCATAGAAATAAATCTACAGATCAGCCATTGAAAGCATCGATTCTATGGCTTTTTAAAGCAAAATGATCACCTATTGCTGGTGTAACCAGATTCTGCAAAAACAAAAAATCACTTAGTTTCTATTGAGCCATGAATGAACATGGAAGGAGGAAAGCATATTTCACCCCATATACTTCTAGTATAATAGTTAAAATTAATAAGACTTAAAGGTTCTTCATACTTAAATATATGAGATAAGCATTTAAAGGCCTTTTTTCAAACTCCTTCCAGATTCTCATTTGAGGAAGGTGCTTTAAAAAGGAGTATCTTCTAGTTTATAAGGAGATGAGCAAGTCATCTTGAACCAAAAGAAGGTGATGTTGAAACACTCACTTATGAAGCAGACTTCTGATTTCCCCTCAGAACAAAACATTTAAGACCAAATTACTGCCGTTAAAATAAGTTTAGGACTTTTAGTTTTGGAGGCTGAGCCACATAATTTTTCTTGTTTTTAATCCTTACTGGGCTATTCCCCCCTGCCCCGCCTACTTTGAGAGAGGGGAAAATACCATTAATGTGAAAAAGAAACATCAATTGGTTGCTTTTTGATACCTGCCCCAATCGGGGATCAAACTCACCACCATTCAGTCTCTGTAACACAGCTCCAACCAAGCCACACGGGTCAGGGCTGAGACACATAATCTTACCATTTCACTCTCCTCCATATGAACTAAAGTCCTATTAAATGTTTCTGCTTTAGAATTTCTTAGACTTCATAGTCACTGGAAAATTATATAAATAAAAACTCAGTATTTCAAGCACCTGCTGCTATGGTATCATTTACCATAATGCTTAAGGGCATGATCAGAATTGAACTGTATATTCAGATTTTGCCCATATTACGATTCTCCATCTTAACCCTTAGTTCCATACATGGACTTTAGTAGACAAAATACCTCCTTGACAAATAGCTGTAAATGTAAAATATTCTCAATAGCGTAGAATTGGTTAAAAAGGCAGTTATGTCTAATAGCCTGTATTAAAACTGATGTACTTCACCTTCTCTTTGATGTGGCTATAAAGTGGTACATGCCTTTCCACTGAGTATGTTACAGGATAGCAGTTAGGAGTTAAGCCTAGTTATTTACTAGTATTTGATAGGCATGAAAATAAGTATGTATCTGTTAGCAAAGAAAGACTGAAGATGACAACTCTATAGAAACTGGCCAATGTTATAATAATTGAATTCTGCATATGCCATTTTATTCCCATTCAACCTAGTAACTGTAATGACAGAAATTTTCAGAGTGTTTTATTTCAAAGTACCCCATTTCCCAAGAAAGTACTACTTTTACATAGAGATGAACTCAAGGTTTTTGTTCATCTCCTTGAAATAAGGTGTGACTGAAGGGTGCTTATTCTGGACTTAGTTGTGAATGCCACCAAAGAATATCAACACAGCTGCTAATTTCATCTTCAGCAGTGCTATATATAGAAAGTTGAAGACCTCCCTTAAAACTGAAGCTGAAACTGTTTCAGCCTAGTAAGATGCCAGCAGCATTTCCATGAGCAAACACAGCCACACTGATTCAAATAGTTTGGCTGGCCAGTACACAGTGGTACACACTAGTCTTCAGGATACTAATGGTCTACAGTGACATAAGTGTGGTAATGAAATTTCATCTTGACCTGCAGTAAAATTTCCTGGTAGTCCCTTTAAATAAGGAGAATTTAAGTCCACAGGGAAGTTGCAGTACTAAGGGCCATATAGGCAGTTTCAAGATCTGGGTTCTCGTCACAGCTCCATGGCTAAAGTGCAAATTGGAGACATTGTCAACATGGCTGTTTTGAGGCTGAGAAGGGTTGATATAAAACGTGCTGCAATGGCAACATGCATGTATGCTGAAGGAAAATTTAGTCAAAGAATAGAAAGTCACTGCTGAGACCAGAATGGCCATCATTCTGCAAGGATTTCCCAGAGACTAAACTGCTTAAGTTTAACTTACTCTTATGTAAGCTAATTTATGGCAGCCACTTACATTTACAATATGGCAAGCGATAGTTTTCCTTTATTAAGTGAACATATTAAAGCCTATAGTAGCTTGAAATGGGGGTAGGAATAGGAATATATATTTTTTCAAGGCTGCATTTATTGGCATATTCATAAAAGCAAGGCAATGCAGTGAGCCCCAGTCTTGACTGTCATGGGGGAAAGATGCTAGAATTTTCAAAACTAAGTATATAAATATGCTTATATCTTATAATAAATCCATGTAATGTTTTTTGCTAACTCGCCAAGAAGAAGCTGACAATTTGAACAACTTGCTGTTTGAAGTGCATGCCATCACACTGTTTAACATTTGTATCATTTACTTACTTTAGAACATAGTTTCTGGATTCTTTCCCCCTTTATATTGTATGGTAAAGCAAAAAAACCTTTTGAAGCATTTTAGAAAACTTCACCCAGATAATTACTATTTGGTAACTTGAGTTCAGTTGCCTTATTTGAGGATGAATAGATCCAACAAGCACATCTATAATACAAAGTAAACTATGATTTTTATTGTGAAATTCTCATAGATGGAAAATTAAATTGAATATTTATTCTGTCAATTTCATTTTACAATAATCTTATCACTTATTTTTGTACCATGTATTTTCAATTGCCTGTTTAGTGAAAATTAAAAAAAAAGTTTTAATTTTTGGCTTGTTTGTAATTTAAATTTTATCATTGAATTCAAGACCCCACCATAAAATGTGTTGCCAACAACCACATCCCAAGCCCCTAAGTAAGTATTTTGGCGGCTGCTACAACCACAAGGAAACAGTTTTTGATTTCTATCACCTTAAAATGCCAGTGTTAGCAAAAGATTTGCTTCCCCACAATAAAAACAAACTCTAGAATCTTTAAGGTCCTATTTAACAAAATTTTCATATGTGCAAAATTCCACGGAAATAAATACATTTTTCTCATTTATTATTCCCATCCAGCATTTGTGTTTTTGGTTAATTTTTAGGGATATAATTTCTAAAATTAGGGCAGTCATACAGTAAATTTTTCCTGCTTTCAACTTTAATGCTTTAATTCTCCTCCAACCTAAGTTATACAATTGTGGAGGATAAAATATCAACATCTGACTCAAAGCATGAAGAAACATTAGCACATGCGTTAGTCTGATCACTTGCCAATTAGGAAAGGTGATGCTTTCTACCTTTACCACAGGAAAGAACAAAAGTATTAATTTATTAAGCCATTTCAGATGGTTTCAGAGAAGGAACACAGACAACAGGCTAGATAGCATACATCCTAAACTTGTTTTCCAAAGAGTTTAATCTTCCTGAACCACTAAGCTTGGTTAAATGCCTGCCTGGCACAGAAGCCTCCCTAGGTCGTTTACTGGATATTATCTTCTGGAGAGCACACTGACCACTGCTCTAAGGTAGGTCTACAACGCCCTGGTTGCACACATGAATGGATGTTTTAAGAATGCAAGGTTCTATTTCCCTTTAACCGTAAGAATTAAAACAATACTTATCACCATACGGTTGGATATTACTTCCAATAAGTACAATATTTATTAAACATATCTTCAGTTGTTCTGTTACATAGTGTGCAACAAATTACAATATTCTGCAGCCACAAATTATATGCAGAGTATGAAGAAACTATTAATCAGATAGTGTAATCTTTCTGTTTATAACTCTACAAGAAAGAACTAGCAAATCAGATCTTACATATAACATCTCACTAAACTTTATGCATGGAAAGTGACAGACACTGGTTGTGCTGTTTGATACAAAATGGCTGAACTTCATCTTCAGAAGACTAAACCTGACATCTAAACATGCCAATATAAACATCAAAACAAAATATATTCTAACCAACCACGGGAAACATTTTCTGATATCAGGAAAGCAACAAGGATTACACACATTATTTTATAAACCAGCACACAAAGGTTTAAAACAGTTCTGAAAATGAAGTTAGCTGTCTTGAGTCAAGGGAATAAAAAAAAAGTCAGTATTGACCATTTACAATCTCTGACCTTTGTGGAGACGGTAAGAATCTGTTGTAGTGCAGCTACATACAGTACAATTCAGGCAATTTTGTTTTTTCACTTGGGTTCAGATTGCAAATTCATTGCTGTGAGAAAAGGACGGAGGCAAATTTTAGCAGCAACCTCCACCTGACTGCTTGACCGGAGTGCTTTGAATTTTAACATGGGACTTCTCGGCACCACCAGCTGTTGCTCCAGGACCCATTCGCTTTTTAATCTCAGCTGCCATTGTCATGAAAGACTGTTCTACATTTGTTGCATTCTTAGCACTGGTTTCCAAAAACGGAATTCCAAGGGAATCAGCAAATTCCTAAGAGAATAATAAGGCACAATTAACATTGAAAAATATTTTTCACTTAGTGCATTTCTACCTAAAATGGGCGGTTAAGGAAAGGCTAAGTTTACTGAATCCAAACAGGCACCATAAAAAAATTGTCATTTCAAAGCATTCTAGTGCACGTTTTAAAAGCCAAGATGGTGGTTCACCTTCACATTCAGTTTGAAAATCAAACTTTAAACATACCTTTGCTGTTGTGTAGTCTACTACTTTCTTTGTGGTCAGATCACATTTGTTCCCTACCAACAACTTGTTGACATTTTCACTGGCATAACGATCTATTTCCTGCAGCCACTGTTTAACATTATTGAAGGACTCCTAAGAAGACAGACATTTTTTAGAATGATTAATATAGTTCTCTGTAACCTAACAACTGTTCTAATGAAGCAAGTGATAAACAAAAGTGTCTTTCTTGACCTAAGAAGAGACGGTGAAACAACTCTAGCTACAAAATAACTATAGTGCTGGCTAAGAAGTGAACTGATAACATTAAAATGACTACCCGTACCTAAGTAAGAAATTGGAATTTGAAGGCTTGAAGATAAAAACACCTTATTTGAGAGAGAAATACAGCTCAGTGTCAAGCAGCAGCTCAAGCAAATTTGATAAATTTGAATCAAAATCTGATTATTTTGGTGTATGGATAGCTTAAGTATTTACTACTAGAGACTCAAAAAATGTTACTAAATAAATGGGTCCAAAATAAAGATGCTTGTTTTCCAGTCATATTAAGGGGAAGAAATTTTTCATTTTTAAATAATTCATGGTATTGACATGAGTGTTGAAATTAACAACTTTCCTTCCTGTTATATCATTCACCCAATATTTCTCATAGTATTGAATCTAAAGTCATGATTCTAAGTATCTCCTAATTAGATATCATAGTTGTGGTAACAATTAACATTTGCTACAAGAAAAAATAAGTTCTAAAAGTTTATTTTAATTTTTGATAGCAAAAAAACCAACCCTGAAATTTTCTAATTTTCTAATCAAAACAATAGTTATGGTCCTTAAACCACATTCTTTCCACTATACCTGCAACCCTCACCTTCTCTCAAAAGCAATCTTTTGTTTCTCTTTATCCTAAAATCTTCCTCTACCTCATCCTATTTCCGAACTACATGCTGAAGGAAGAGACCCATAATCTTGCTTTTTGCCATTCTAACAAGTCTAATTACCAGGCAAATTCCTGTTAATATTTAACACCAAGAACATGGTATAAACCAAACAACCCAACACTCCCAAATAAACTCGTGCCAAAATGATTATTTATTTAGTTGATAATAAATATAACCAGAGTCCCTTGAAAGCAAGTGTAAAACCAATTACTAGATTTTCTATTTATTTAAGGAAAATAGGAAATTTTGGTTGGCCACCACTAGGTACCCAAAATAATGTTTATGTGATTAACTTATTTGGAGTGGACAGAGTTTTTCACCACATAAATAATATGGATGGCTATCAAATAGTAACTTCCCACTTTGTCACTGTAACACAGTTTCTTCCTGGAACTTACCTGATCTGTCACATCATACACAACTATGATGCCATGGGCTCCTCTGTAATAACTGGAGGTGATTGTTCGAAATCTTTCTTGGCCTGCTGTGTCCCACTATTGTAAAACAATCAAGACATCCAAACAGTTCCATTAAGATAGAGTCGGGGAATAGGGTAGGAGGAGGGAGAACAGTTCATTTACACAGTTATGGAAATGACCAGGATGAGATATTAGCCCTCAGTGTGCACACTAGTAAATTACATGGTAACTACCAAATACCTGAAGGTCCAGAAAAGAAGGTAGTGCCTCTAGTTTAGTTTGCAGTAATGCTACCAGTATCACAAGGTCTTTGAGATCAGGAACTATGTCAAACTCTTCATATTCCCTACAGCCCTTAGCACTGTGTAAGACATTCAGTATGACTGCAGAAACAGGCTGACTTGAATAGGAAGGCTACTGGCCTAACACCCCTTTTAACATAGTACATTCGGATGACTGCCAATCAAGAAAAACATTTTAACCATCTCTGGAAGGTATTATCTTAATCCTAGAGTCAATGTAAGGAAGATGATTCAAAATACTTTGATAAAATTCACTTTAAAAGTTGCCATACTTGAGCCATTTAGGCTTAAACACCAAAAACATGCTTAGATTACTACATTCAAGTTCTGGGTTTAAAAAAACTGAGGGGGAAACTCAACTGTTAGATTTTAAAGTCTTGTTTTAATTAACAAGGACAATAAGAATTTTGTTTAAGTAGCTCTTAGACAATGGCTTAACAAAAAACTTATACTGAGAATAGCTACCTACTCTACTGGTGAAAGGTAACACCTTGATTGATAGAGAAATAACATACTGGTTACTGTAAAAAGACTTGAAGCCTGAGACAAGTGAAGATTAAGATGCAATACCCTTTAAGGGGAGGGAATTACAAAGTTTGGAAGTATATCTGAACTCGACATTAATCCCCTCTAATGTTTTAAATGGCAAAATTAAAAAAAACAACATCCAGTTCAGGAGCACTCAGTAAAATACTTCCTGTTCTAGAACCCAGCTGACACAGACCTGTGAAAAACGAGTACAATTTTGGGGAAATACGAATATAGACTGGTATTAGATAATATTGAGGCACTGGTGTCAATTTAGTTAAATGTGATTAATGGTTACATAGTAAAATACAGGTGCATACCAACCTATGTTTGGAGTAAATATGTCTATAACATACTCCAAGGGAAAAAAAATAAATGAAGCAAATAAAGTTAATATCATTAATCTAAAATAAACAGGTAAGTCAGAACAACTTCATTACCTTTTTTGTTAAAAGTACTAGCCTGAGAGCCAGAAGACTTTAGATCTGTTATCTTTCAGGATATCCTTGGAGAAGCATGAGCTTTGGAGTCAAGCCAACCTGACTTGGAAACATCAAATCTAGGTTCCTGGTTATTTAATGGTAGGGATAGTTTCCTCATCTAATCCTAGGTGTCTCTCACCTTACAGAATTGCTAAATGGGTTTGAATGAACTAATGTTTGTAAAATGCCTAGCAGAGTGCTTGACTGTAGAAGCTGTTCAATATAATAGTACGGAAATGCTTACACTACACCAGGCACTCAGAATCAGGATTACAGAGATGAATGAAACATAGCCCTCATAGGAGATCCCATTAAGGTGGGGAAAACAAACACAGAAAAATCAGTTACACTATGATTATGAGGGGTAATGAGGATTAAATACAGAAAAAAGTCCTCCCTTCTCCACCTACCAACCCCTTGCACAAAGATAGCACAAGGAAGAAATAGTTTATGAATAAATGTTAACAAAGAATTGTAGCTGACTGAGCAATGGCATCTGAAGAGTAAAATTTCTGATGTCTCCTCACCACTCTAAAAACTCTTCCTGAGTCTATATCCTAATAGTACATTATCACAGCGTAACTGATTTTTCCATGTTTGTCTCTCCGGCTGAAATGGGATCTCCTCCTATGAGGCTATGTTAATCATTTATCTCTGTAACCTCGAATCTGAGTGCCTGGCATAATGTAAGCATTTCCATAAATGCCTCATCAATGAACAATCACAGAAGTATGCCTTCTTGCTGTGGGTCTGGACTCCATACCTGCCCTGCCCAGCTGAATGTTTTTGTAATCACTAACTACAATACAAAGTCCCAGATGGACACACTTGAAAAGCTGAAAGGATATTTAAAATATAGATCAACAATAATTTTGAAAGACCTAGAAAACTTGGAAAGATAACTGAAGCCAAGCAATTTGAAGTATAATGGGGTTAAAAGTAAAATCTAGCATTCAGATTTAAAAAGAGTAGTCACAAATTATGTCTTTAAAAAAAGTACAAACTCAAAGCCCTAAGATCCAAAGTGAGGAGTTTTGTAAGTCCTTGAGTGGATTAACGATGAGAAAAGGCCCTGAGTCTCTGAAGTCCAAAGGGCGGGGGTGATTCAGAGTCCAAATAAAAAGAGGATTTTCCTCACATAGTCCACACTGTCTGGGCTATATCCTATTTGATTTCAGGAATCACATTTTAATAAGAGGTACTTATAAAACACAAGAGTAACTCAAACTGTAAAAGGTTCAGAAAACATACTTCCAGAAAGGAATAACTAACTCCAGAAGTAGAGGTTGTGGTAAGATCTAAAGCACAGGCTGGGCAGTACTCCCATCCTCCAACAACATCAAAACTACAACTAAACTATAGAACAACCATCATTCAGAACTGCCGAAGCAAGTCCTACAAGAAGGATATAAAGCAGAAGCCACAATGAGACTGCTAGGAAGGGCAGAGATGCAGCTACTCCCGCACCCACATATGGCAGATAAAATATCAGGAGGGGTATCTTGGCTGCCAAGGATTCCCCTTGAGAAGTGAAGATCTCAGCCCTACACTAGGTCCCTGGCCCAGGGTTCCAGTGCTAGAAGAGAACTCCCATTATAATTTCCAGCTGTACAAGCCAACAGCGATTGTGACTGAGTGAGACAAAGGGCTTCTGGAGTCCCTAGCACAAACTTACTCAAACTCACTCCCTCTCAGCTCCAGTATGGGGCAGCAGCTTGAAAGGTGCCAGGGACATACGGGGAAGAACTGAATTTGTCTGGTATCAGGGCAAAAGCTGCAGGGGCAGCTTTAGAAATGCTAGCAGGCCATTGTTTCTTTTCTGAGCTCTCCCCCTAGAGCTGGCAGGTGGGCACCATATCTGAGTCTCCATCAACCTGGCTATCACTGTTCCCCACCACCACCCTGGTTATTCCCTGAGACCCCACCCCAACCAACTTGCCAGTTGACCCAAGATATTTCCGTGGCTTTTCCACAGGAATGGCCTGTTTTGGCTCATGCTTCAGGTCTTCCTAAAATCTATCAAAACAAGCAGCATCTGACCTCTGCATGCCTCAGAACTCTAAGTGGCCCCAGGCCCAGCACTAGCAGCAGGGACCTTGTTTTGCAGCCAGGCCCCTCGGCACCTCCAAGCCTAGTAAGAAGTAGCAGCCATCTGCAGAAGGCTTTATATGCAGAAGGCCAGGTGGCCCTGGGCAGAATACAGGTGGCAGCTGACCTCTGATAGCACCTCCCAGGAAACCCCAGAGCCAGACACCTTGAGACCACAATGAAGCACCAGCCACCACCTCCACAAGCAACACACTCAAAATGCAAACTAAGCAGGCACCAGAGCCCTAAACAAGTCCTGCTCCATGGGGTGGGCCCCTGCATAGCCGATCCCCCAAAGTCCTCAGTGGTCACAGCCAGTCCTTGCAGCTGATCAGCCTAGGGGTAAACCCCTCCCACTGACATGCCAATAGCAATGAAGGCTCAACTACAAGAGGAGAGTGTACATAGCCCACAGGGGAGGTATACCAGTAGTGCCCAGTTTGGTGAATAAAAACGCTCTTCCACTGGACTCTACAGGACACCTACTGCATTAGGCCACTCTAACAAACTCTGGAGACATAGCAAGCAGCTCTACCTAATACACAGAAACAAACACAGTGAGGCTGCCAAAATGAAGAGACAAAGGTGTCCTAAATGAAAGAACATAACTCCAGAAAAAGAACTAAACAAAACTGAGACAGGCAAACTACTAGATGCAGAGTTCAAAACTATAAGGATGCTCAATGAACTTGGAGGAAAAGTGGATCAACAGTGAGAATTTTATTTTTTTTAAGATTTTATTTATTTATTTTTAGAGAGGGGGAAGGAAGAGAGGGAGAGAAACATCATGTGTGGTTGCCTCTCACATGCCCCTGACGGGGGACCTGGCCCACAACCCAGGTATGTGCCCTGACTGGGAATCAAATTGTTTGCAGGCCGGTAATCAGTTCATTGAGCCACACCAGCCAGGACAGTGAGAACTTTAAACACATAAAAAAGGACATGGAAACCATAAAAAAGAACCAGTCAGAAATGAAGGATACCCTAATTGAAATGAAGAATAATTTGCAGGGAAACCCACCTAATTAGAACAGCAAAAAGAAAAAATTCAGCTCTGACTGGTGTGACTCAGTTGACTGGACCTCATTCTGCAAAGTGAAAGGTCACCAGTTCAATTCCTGGTCACGGCACACATCTGGGTTGTGGGTTTGGTCCCCAATCCCGGCACATACAAGAGGCAACCAAATCAATGTTTCTCTTTCACATTGATGTTTCTCTCTCTTTCTCCCTCCCTTCCCCTCTCTCTAAAAAAAAAAATAAATACATAAAACCTTTAAAAAAGAAAGAATCCAAAAAACTGAGGACAGTGTAAGGAGCCTCTGTGACAACTTCAAGTGTACCAACATTCATAATCATAGGGTGCAAGAAGAAGAAAGCAAGAAATTGAAAACTTATTTAAAAAAATAATGACAAAAAACTTCCCTAGCCCAGTGAAGGAACTAGATATACAAATCCAGGAAGCACAGAGTCCCAAAGAAGATGAACCCCAAAAGTCCCACACCAGACACGCCATAGTTAAAATGCAAAAAGTTAAAGACAGAGAGCATTGTAAAAGCAGCAAGAGGAAAGCAATTACCTACAAGGGAGCTCCCATGAAACTGTCAGCTAATTTCTCAACAGAAACTTTGCAGGCCAGAAGACACTGGCAAGAGATACTCAAACTCACAGGTGGCAAATGCAAGGCCTGCCCGCAGGCTGAATCCAGCCCTCCACCTTGTCTTATCCAGCCCAGTACCTTGTTTCTACCCAGCGGCAGCACCAAGCTCTCGATTAACTGTTAAGCAGTAGTTACATCTATACAATCCTAAAATTACATTCGGCCCTTTGAAGGCAACCTCGAGGCTGATGTGGCCCCCAGTGAAAATGAGTTTGACATCCCTATTCTAAGTGATAAAAAGCAAGAAACTATAACCAAGATTACTCTAGTAGATTACTCTACTCAGTGAAGCTATCATTTAGCATCAAAGAACAGATAAAGAGCTTCCTAGACAAGAAAAAGCTAAAGGAGTTCATCACCACTATGACATATACTTTAAGAAGAAAAAAAAGATTAAAAATATGAACAATAAAATGGCAATAAATACATGTCTATCAACAATTCAATCTAAAACAAATAAGGCAAAACAGAAACAGACTTACAGAGAAAAATTTTAATGGTTGCCAGATGGGAGGGAGGTTGGGGGGGTGGGTAAAAAAGGTGAAAGAATTAAAAAGTACAAATTGGTACTTACAGACTAGTCATGGGGATGTAGAGTACAGCATAGGAAATATAGTCAATAATATTCTAATAACTATGTATGGTGTCAGATGGGTACGAGATTTATCAGGATGAATACTTAGTAAGTTATGTAATGTCTAATCATTGAGTTGTACACCAGAAACTAATATAATAGTGTATGTCAACTCTAATTAAAAAACAGTAATAATTTTTTAAAAGAAAGATTATAAAAATTAAAAATAAAGGGCAAACTGCCAACAGAAAAGGAATTAATTTCATTCAGGCAGCTCTAAATGGCAGAGGAGAGCTAGAAGTTAAAGGAAACTGGCTTCAGTTCAATATAATGAATTAACAATTAGAGATTATTTATAAGTGGAGCTAGCTTCTTTCATAAGCTGGTGAACTTCCCAAAAATGTTCAAAAAAAGGCACCCGATAGGGAAAGGAAATTGTGAACAAAGATGAAAGGAAGACTGAGTGACCTATTAAGTAAGATCTGTTCCAGCCATAGGAAAGTAGCAGTATGTGACTGTTTTCACAAATATACACTCAAATCTTATGGAGACCAATGATCACACATAATCATAATCACTTCACATCAGTAGTTAAGAGGCCTGGGTGCATCTTTCTGAAACATGCCTCTAACTTTATACTTGACACCTGAAATACTGTGCCAAGTATAAAGTCCTACATATAATGGGGGGAAATTACTATGGAAGGTAATCTCATTCACTGGTTTAAAGTATTTCAAACTCATAAGTACATCCTTGCAAGTCCTTATTTGAAGTACGAAGTATGTTAACTTACATCAAAACCCACAATTCTTTTGTAATGCACTTTTCTCCCACCTCATCAGAGTCTTATATGGAAAATGAGCAACTAAAAAAAATTACCTCTCTGAGGTATGTCATATCATCAGTAACATTTGTATACAGTAGCCCCCGCCCCCTTATCCACGGTTTCACTGTGGTTTCAGTTATCCACAGCCATTGTCCAAAACTTTAAATGGAAATTCTAGAATTCATAAGTTTTAAACTGTATGTCACCCTGAGAGGTGCAATGAAATGTCACATCATCACACTCCATCCCACCCTTGACCTGAATCATCATCCCCTTTGCCAAGCATATCAACCTCACTTCATCTCATCATGAAGGCATTGTATTATCTCACATTATCACAAGAAGGGTGAGTACAATACAATACATTTTGAGAGAGATGACATTCATATCTTTTATCAGTATATAGTTACCCTCTTACTGTGCCTCATTTATAAATTAAACTTTATCATAGGTATGTATATACATGTAAGAAAAAACACAGTATATGTAGGGTTCTGTACTGTCTGTGGTTTCAGGCATCCCCTCAAGGTCTTGGGAGGGGCCTATCATACTGCCCAAAAGTTTACAAAGGGCTTTCATATACATTATCATACACACATACACAGAGCTACTAGATTTGGTTCTTACAACTACCTTATGAGTTAGCAAATCAAGTATACTCATATTCATTTCAGAGATAATAAACTGAGTCTCAGGAAAAAGGTTGAAGTAAGTTAACCCATGACTTTCTAAATAGTAAATATCAGAAAGATAACAAATCCAAGTCTTCTGACTCCCAATCCAGAACTCCCAGTTCAATGTATTATCAATTCCATCAAAAGTACAGTCACTGGTTTTCTGTTACCTCACACTAATAGCCAGTTCCAAAAGATACCCAGAAATTAATATTTTTAAAGACCACAGACATGTCCACACTGGTAGTCCCAGACCCATGCAACTGTCTATTTTTAATGTGGGGTTAGGGTTGTAAGGATAGACAAGGGGGCTAGGCACAAGGACATAAAATGTTGAAGACAGAGCTATGGGTCATTTGGTTCTGCTAGAAACTGTAAATTATTAATTAAATCAGCATCCATTTTCCTGAGCTGTAAAACAAGTTAGGAAAACTAAGCTTTTCAATAAAATTCCAAGACTTGGTACATACTATCTAATACATACAAAAGAACTAAATAAATACAGTTGACCCTTGAATAACACAGAAGCTCAGGGTGCCAACCATCAGTAGTCAAAAACTCACAAATAAATCATGTCTGCCCCCAGCACACGAGGATTCCCAACTGTAAGAAGACCCTTGAACAATGCAAGTTTGAACTGCATGGGTCAATGAACTGCATGCATCAACTGAAAAAACCCACGTATAAGTAGACGTGCACAGTTAAAATTCATGATGTTCGAGGGTCAACTATTCAATTTAGCCACACATAAAGAAGCTTTCCCTAGGTTTCTTCTCATGTTCCACAATATTTAGCACAGTAAAAGGCATAAAGAAAATGCTCATTTACTTTTGATAGAAGGCAAGGTAAATTTTAACGTAGACTCTACTGATAAAAGCACAAGAAAAATAACTAGGACCATGAGGTGGGTGGAGGTGGTAGAGGGTATAGCAGGGTAAAAAACACAATAAAATACAATAAGAAATAAACTTAAAAGCAAAAAAGCAGTAACTAGGACCAAGTTTGACTTAAAAAATGTACTTTTCTGCTTTATAAATGGAAAATTCAATGAGGAAGGGTAGTCTTAGAGAAATCATTTTTAATCTGAACAATTCTTATTCTACACACTATCACAGATACATGGTTAAGCTACTATAAATTTAATTTTGTTACTATATTAAAAAATAAATACATTTTAAATTTACCAAAAATAATTTCAAAAATACTTCTAGTCCAAAAATTACTTACTATTTGAAGCTTGATTGTTTTCCCATCTAACTCTATAGTTCTTATTTTGAAATCCACACCAATAGTGCTAATGTAGCTTTCTGTATACGTATCATCCTGAAGGGATAAAAAGTTAATGATTAAAGTTAATGTTCAATACAGTAAATAAAATAGTGTTAACTTGTATATACGAAGCTGATATGGTTAAAAGGCACAGCATGTTGAGGACGACCACTTCATCCTGCTCCAGTACTCAGTTCATATTTTTATTACAAAGTACTATTTAACAGTAGTCTCTTCTTAAGACTTTTTCAACAGTTATCCTTAATTTTTCTACATATTTCTTGGCAAATTCTTATATAGAAAAAGGATTTATATTTACAATGATTATGAATGATTTTCCTAATTACTAATTAGTAAAACTCTAGTTCCCCTCACCCCCAAATCCAATTTATTCACCACAAAGTAATGTCACTCTCCTCTTCTGGATTTTTTTAGAAGTCAATTTTATTTCCTAGTTATGACTTTTTCAAATTCTCACAGTATAAAATGCACCCTTTTAAAGTGTGCAATTCAGTGGTTTTTAAGTATATTCATACAGTTGTGTAACCACCTCCATCATTTAACCCCAGCACATTTCCACCACCCTGTGATGAAACCCTGTACGCAGCAGTCCCTCTCCATTTCCTTCTCTTCCCCTAGACCCCGGAAACCACTCGTCTACTTTATGTCTCTATAGATTTGCCTATTCTGGACATGCCATATGAATGGAATCATACAACATGTGGCCTTTGGTGTCTGGCTTCTTTAACTCAGCATAAAGTTTTCCTTTCTTTTTATGGCTGAATAATATACATTGTATGGATACACCACACTTTATTTACCCATTAATGAGTTGGTGGACATCAGGGTTGTTTCTAATTTTTGGCTAATATGAATAATGCTGTTATGAACATTTGTGTACAAGCTTGTATGTGAACAATGTGTAACCCAATGTTAAACTTTTAAAATTATACTTGTTTTTTTAAAATGTCCAGAATCTGAACATAAGAATCTGTTGTGACATTTTACTCCAAATGGAAACAAAACTTTTAATGTTTGCGAAAAAATGTATGAATGGAGAGATCAGGCTATCACCACCTAAACCCAATGAACAATCTTAGCGAGCAGAAAGCATCACCTATTAAGTATTCTGCCAACAAAGATGGCCCTAAATCTAATCAAAACTAAATCCACTAAGAGAAGCAATATCGACAGAACTTTCTTTGATGATGGAAACATCCTACAAGCTGAGCTAGTCAATACAGTAGCCACTAGTCCCAAGGGCAAGTGAGAACAAGGAAATGAATGTTTAATTTTATTCAACTTTAATTAGTTTACATTTAAATAGCTGCATGGGGCTAGTAGCTACCATAAAGATAGCACAGCTCTTGGGGTTTACTTCCAATTACAGAAACACAAGGAATCTGAACAACTGAAAGACACCACAAGGAAGCAAAGTGGCAAATATAAAATGCTGGACAATCTGTAGGAAAACTGCCCTGGTTTCTGCAAAAAATAAAGGGCAGGAAAACAATAGAAAGGCAAGGTAATAGAAAGGCAAGGTAGAAAGGTAATAGAAAGGCAATAGAAAGGAAAAACCCTAGATTAAGAGACTAAGCAGCGAAACAACCAGAATGTGTGGACCATGTTTGAATCCTGATTCAAACCAACCATAATATCAACACTTCTGAGACAATCAAGGAAAATTATTCTTCTAATTAATAATGGCAATGTTATTTTATATAAAAATGTCCAGTTTGGGGAAATTCATACTAAAGTATGTAGGGGGGAAAACAATACTTGCACAATTTGCAATACAACACTACAACAGAGAAGGGGAAGAAAGGATTAAATGAAGCCAGTGTGGGCAAGTCTTGATGATGCTGAATCTGATACATACATGGGATTGAAAAAAAACCTCTAAGTAAATTGTAAAATGTGTCTGTGGGAGGGAGTTTTGTTAGAAACATTTATAAATGCTTTGCTAGAATACTTATAAATCCCTAAATGACCCGTACTGCATGGCTCTGAGCCACTGTACATGCTCTTCCTTCTGCCCAAATTCTCGGTTATCTCTTTCTGCACACCCCCTACTCCCCCAGCCCCTGGGTCACATGGCAATTTTTATTCACTATTCAATTCTGAGCCCAGGCAACAGTAATTGTCCAAACATTCTCCAACTCCTCAGACAACAGTTAAGAGATCATTCCCTCTTGTGCTCCAATAGCTTGTCATACATTTCGTTATAATACCTTTTGTACCTTTGTCTATTTGGGGGATCCACAAATTAGTATTTTTGTAAATACTTCCAGGTGATTTTATTGTGTGGGTACTAGCGAAAACCTTTAACTTAGATCAACAGGCATCTCAGAGAGAATTTTCTTTGAAACACAAACATATAGCCATTTTTATTAAGAGATGCCCAATCCTTCCCACCTACCCAGAACTGCTGATTTAATACTAGGAGTTACTCTTAATTTTAATATTTGCCAATTTAATAAATATTAAGTAAAATCCACTTTTAAACCTTTACTCACAAATAAAATTGAACATTTTTTCATATTCACTGTCAATTTGTATTTCTTTTTTTGTGACCTACCTCTCATGTATTCGTACATATTTCTATTAGGACAAAATCCTTTTCTTATTAATGTATAAGTGTGCTTTATAAATTGAGAATATCATCCCTTCCTCATATATATATATTTTTTGCTAGTACCATCTGTCTTCTAACGTTTTTATTTGCTTGCCATTAATTTTTATGCAATCAAATTTAACAATCTTTTCTTTCATAATTTTTTGTTAGAAAATACATTCACACATATTAAATAATTTAGTACTTCCATTTCACTTTTAACTATGATATATAATGAAATTATTTTTTAATGACATTCATTAATATCACTGTTCATCTAATCAGAAAAGTCATATTTAGTATCTGAAATGCTGTCAAGCTTGCAGTGGTGAATTACAAGTTCTCTAAAATTCTAATTTTTCTTTGAAAGCTTGAATTTTATTACTGGCGGCAAATGCTGTCAGATATTTTCCTTGAAGTGACAATCTTCAGTTCATTTGAGAAAATGTCTTCCAATATCCAATTCTACACAACTGTAGTCTATCAGTTGTTCTTTCAAGTAAAAAAATACTTTTCCTCAAGACAACTACACCAAAACACTCTAGTAAGCAGCAAAAGCGCTTTATGCATATTCCTCATTTCTTCACAACGTGATATTTAAAAAAAAGGGACTAGATTTTTAAAACTTAATCATTTTTACTTTTTCATCAAAGACACTCTGAAGTGAAAATGGTGTTTCCCCCCCGGTGAGTGAAGAGAGGTAAATAACATAACTATGAGCACAGTTTGGGGCTTAGCACAGCCTTGACAAGGTGTGTTAAGGTGCCAATAGTTTCACCCCACTATTACTTTTCCGTTATCAGAGCAAATGTCAACACAGTGAAAAAAGCAAATGTCTTTATTTTTAGTACTAAGTAATTATTTACTAAGTAAATACTAAGAGCTTAGTATTATTAGAATAATAGTTTTGATCTCATGAACAACCCCCCAAAAGGGTCCCAATAATCCCTAGGGATATTTACTCCATACTCTAAGAACCATGATCCACACAGTGAGATGGAAACCATGTTAAATTTGAAGGCAGTCAATATGCTTATTACAGAACACAATACCATTGTCAAAAAACAGTCTGTACTAGACCCTGCATTTCCTTTTTGTTCTGCTGAACTTTTACTTGAAAATTCGTTGTCCATCAAGTCATTTTCAACATAGGCCAACTATTTTCCATTTACCTCACTATATATGTTGGAGTGAAACACTGTTTGACCTCTATCAAGAATATCATTTTGACTTTACAACCACACTTCGTTGAATTTCTTTTAAGAACAACAGCATTTTTTTTCCTTAAGGCTCCAAGGTATCACTACAGATGTATACTTGAAGACTTTAATCTATATATTCTGGAAGAATTAATTTTTTGTGAGCAAAACTTTAATCTTTTGTCTACCTAGAAAACATATGCAGTATTAATTTCTTTAAAAGTATTTCAATTTTGCCCTGGCTGGCGTAGCTCAGTGGATTGAGTGTGGGCTGTGAACCAAAGTGTTGCAGGTTCGATTCCCAGTCAGGGCACATGCTTGGGTTGCAGGCCACAGCCCCCAGCAACCGCACATTGATGTTTTTCTCTCTCTTTCTCCCTCCCTTCCCTCTCTAAAAATAAATAAATAAAATCTTTTAAAAAAAGTATTTCAATTTCAACTTACTGCAAACCTAAGGAGGAGGCAAGACTTTCCAACTCCAGAGTCTCCAATCAGAAGCAACTTGAATAAATAATCACTGCAAAAAGAAAAAAAAAAACATTGATAAAAAGGATATTCCTGCAACAACAAAAACATAGCAAGAATAATAAGCAGGTCACTAAGGAAGACTATAGCTCTTGGAAAGTCCATGAATAGCTTAGCAGAAGCCAAAATTGTAATCAAGTCCTTTTGCAACCAAGTCCTTAGCAGAAGTCCTTTTGATGAATCACTGAACATGACAAAATTGCATAAAAGTAAGATAGGCAATGTGTCCCCAATGATCTCTGAGATCAGTGAACTACTTCCAAGGAAAGAATGAAAGGAAACATAAGTGATATGCATTCTTGGAGAACCCAAGAAACTGCTGGATAAATCCCTTTACAGTATTAGAATACAGGGAGTATTCTTGCCAAGGAAACAAATCTGTCCTCCTAATTCCAAGATCAAAACATTATTTCATAGCAATCTTCCAAGGGGCTTTTATGATCCTTTCCTAGCATACACCTGGAAATTCTTCCTTAAAAAAAAAAAAAAAAAAGGATCATTTAACTTGTGTAAGCCTGTATTATAAATATTTTAAACTGAAGATGTGGTAAACTCAAAGGTGGTTTATGCAAAGGCACAAATTGACAAACATTCTAAGCCTGTATTAAAGCATTCTTCAGAGCCCTAGCAGGGTAGTTTAGTTGGTTAGAGCATCATTCCCACCAAGGTTCACTCTCTGGTCAAGTCACATACAAGAATCAACCAATGAATGCACAGGTAAGTGGAACAATAAATCAATGTTTTTCTCTCCCTCTTCCTCTCTTTCTCTAACAAGTCAAAGTCAGTAAAGCATTCTTCAGAAAATACTGACATCTAAGCTTTGTTTTTGTACATTGACACTGCCAGGCCTGACTCAAAGACCATCTGTGGGTTTTCCTTCATGGACCTGAAGACAAAAGACTACCTACCTGCCCATGGTCTCCAAAGGAATCCTTCATAGAGCCTTTCTAATTCTGACCAGTTCTAACTGTTCTTCCATGCAATTTGAAAAAGATTTTTTTAAATCCAGAATTTATACTTTATTATTTTAGAAGATAAGCATGAGTTTCAATTTTGCTGTTTGTGATTCTGTTTTTAAAAATGCTACCTAATGTGAAACCCAAATATCATTCACAATTTAAATTAGATTACAATTAATCATAATTACAAGCAAGATATACAACTTTTAACAGTGATTATCTTTGTGGATATTCATCAATTGTTACCCAAGTTTACAGTAATATGTATTACATAAATTTATCTTTTTGGTTATATTAAGTTACTATAGTATACTTATTGTCCCTAATTATATCTCAAGGAAAGGGGGAAAATCCAAAGTGCTCTAGTTAACAGCAAAATAAAAGTCATAGAAGGAAACAAGAAGCTTTTAAGCAAGCATTAAGAAGGGGACCAAAGCCTTAGCTGGTGTGGCTCAGTTGGTTGGGCATCATACAGCAAGGCAAGGGGTCGCCAGTTGGGTTCCCAGTGGGGCCCTATACCTGGACTGCAGATTCAGTCCCCAGTCGGGGTGTATACAAGAGGCAACAGGTCAATGTTTCTCTCATACATGGACACATGGATGTTTCCCTCCCTTTCTTTCTCCCTCCCTTGCCCTCTCTCTAAAGGTAAATAAAATCTTTTTAAAAAAGAGAGGGAGATTAAAACACAGAATGGACTAAAAAAAAATAGCCTTTCCAGTTTGACATACTAAAGAAAAAAGGGGCGAAGGTAATGACTGTGAAATTTTACCCTTAATAATTCATACATAATACCATACAACTTTTATTAGGCAGTACAGTTTCTGATTGACTTTATTAGCACTATTGATTGCTTCCTCCTTAGACTAAATTCTTAAGAATGCTGAACACTGACACTAGCAATGAGTATGTTGAGAATTTACATTTCATTGAGCAAGAATAACTGCACCATTAATACTACTATAGTTAGTTTTTCTGTTTAAGTATAGTTTATGGCTATTACAGTTTTCCCAATTTTTTTCTCCCCTTTATCCCTGCTCTGCCCTGCATTACCCCCGCCGTCCAGTATTCTCACCTTCCTCAGTTCATGTCCATGGGCTGTACATTTAAGTTCTTTGGCTTCTCTGTTTCCTATACTATTCTTAATTACCACCCCTTCTATTTTATGACTATCAATTATGCTTCTTATTCCTATACCTTCCCCCCATTCTGCCCCTCCCCCTCCCACCGATAACCCTCCATATGATCTCCATTTCTGGTTCTGTTCCTGTTCTAGCTGTTTGCTTAATTTTTGTTTTCTAGGATCATTTGTTGATAGTTGTGAGTTTGTTCTCATTTTACTTTCCATTATTTTTTTTATCATCTTCTATTTCTTAGATAAGTCCCTTTAACATTTCATATAAGGGCTTGGGGATGATGAACTCCTTCACCTTTACATTATCTGAGAAGCACTTTATCTGCCCTTTCATATTAAATGATAGCTTTGCTAGATAGAGTAATCTTGGATGTAGGTTCTTGACTTTCATGACTTCAAATACTTCTTTCCAGCCCATTCTTGCCTGTAAGGATTGTTTTGGACAATCAGCTGACAGTCTTATGGGAATTCCTTTGTAGGTAACTGTCTCCTTTTCTCTTGCTGCTTATAAGATTCTCTCTTTGTCTTTAATCTTGGGTAACTTAATTATGATGTGCCTTGGTGTGTTCCTCCTTGGGTCCAATTTCTTTGGGACTCTCTGGGCTTCCTGGAAGTCTATTTCCTTCGCCAGCCAGACTGGGGACGTTTTCCTTCATTATGTTTTCAAGTAAGTTTTCAATTTCTTGTTCTTCCTCTTCTTCTTCTGGAACCCCCATGATTTGGATGTTGGAGTGCTTAAGGTTGTCCCAGAGGCTCCTAAGCCTCTCCTCATCTTTTTGAATTCTTGTTTCTTCATTCTGTTCCAATGAATGTTTATTTCTTCCTTTTGTTCCAAATTGTTGATTTGAATCCTGGTTTCCTTCCCATCACTGTTGGTTCCCTGTACATTTTGCTTTATTTCACTTTGAGTAGACTTCATTTGTTCCTTCATTATGCCACCAAGGTCAATCAGTTCTGTGAGCATCCTGATTACCAGTGTTTTGAACTCTGCATCAGATAGGTTGTCTAGCTCCTTGTCACTTAGCTCTTTTTCTGAGTTTTGACCTGTTCTTTCATTTGGGCCATATTTCTTTGCCTTGGTGCACTTGTTATGTTGTATGGGGGCGGAGCCTTAGGTATTCGCCAGGGTGGGGAAACCGTGTTTGCTGTGTTGTGGCATTGTCTGTGGGGGAGGGGCCAGAGAGGGAACAATGCCACTGGCAGGCACTGCTTTAGTCCCACTTTCCAATGAACTCTCCTGTGAGACTAGGAGTTTCTCCTACCGTTGCAGCCCCTGCAGTTTTTACAGCTAGAGCTTTTGAGTCTTTAGTTTCCCCATTCAGTCAGTCCCACATCACCTGCATGGTATGCCAACTTGCCCTGGTCACCATCCTTTCAGCTCAGCTGCCTGTCTCCCATCTCACCCCTCCTACCTGTCTGGATGAATGTTTCTTTAACTCTTTGGCTGTCGGAGTTCCATGCAGTTTGATTTTCTGAGTTACTTAATTTTTAACATAAATTTCAACACAATAGATACCCTGAATTTACCAATCTCCCTGAGCACAATGCCAAGCTTCCTGTAGACATTCAGTAAACATCACCTGAATCAGTTGTACTGGACCCTGTTACAATAAAGGACAGCACTGAGTCACAGATGTTGCCTGAGGTAGCATTCATTACCTTAAAAATCAATTTCTCTACTTCAGAGTATTCTTAAGGTTGTAAAAAACATGAATGCTTCCTAATAATTGTTACAAATTACATTATGGTTTCAAGAAATTAACAGTCAGAGCATTTGAGATCTTGCTGCAGCATATGATGTCAGCTTGGCTCAAATAAACTCAGGAAAATTCCCAATAGGTTTGGGAGGGAAGAAGAAATTAATACTCAATTTTTTTAAATCACCTTTCTCAATTAAAAATAATATGAAGAGTTCAGTACTCTTCTCTACAGTGGGATAATCACTGCTAAACAAGACCACAGTTAACATGAGTTTGAATTGCATGGATGCATCTATATATGGATTTTTAAAGTCCACACTGTCACATGGGTCATGTTTTTAACCAGATGGGAATCTGCATATTAAGTTACATGCAGATTTTATATTGTGCCCAGGTAGGTGCCCCTAACCTCCCCACTGGTTCAAGGATCAACTGTATTTTGTTCTCACCCAACATGACAAAAGACATAGGGAATGGCAAACAAAGTGAAACTCACAAACTTCTTCTGTTTATTGAATACACACACCTAGAGAATGTTACATGCATGTTACCTGTATTGGGACATTTTAAATAACCTACTATTATAGCACCTTATTTCTAAACTATTAATATACTGAGTGTTCAAGATAATTCGGAGACTTGAACATATTTCTGCCCTGATAAGTGTGTGCTTCAGTGGGTTGGGCATCATGCTGCAAAATGAAAGGCTGTGGGTTCGATTCCCAATTGGGGGCATGGGAGAGGTGAATGATCAATGTTTCTCTCACACATCATTGTTTCTCTTTCTTCCTTCTCCTCTCTATAAATAAATAAATTTCTATGACTATAATTTGCAGAACAGAACACAGAAAAATGTTGACCATATGCAAATCTAAAATTAGAAAGCACAAGGTCAGAATTTTGGTACAAAGGTTCAAGAATACTATATAGCAAATGGTAAGACAATATACAGTCAGTCATATCTCAGTTAACAGTCAGCTTCAGAACTCATCAAACCCTGTACTCATCTCATTTTTATGAGAAAAAAATGTTTCAGCACTCAGAGCCTGAGCTTGCTCAGGACTTGTCACACTTGCCAGAACCTGTATGAGTCACAGTACTGCCCCGCAAAAGATAATGCTTCATCACTCATCGCTTGCTTGGTACTTGTCACAAGTTCTGGAACAAATTAACGACAAGTACCAAGGTACCACTGTATTTT